GAAGCAGGCTGAAAAATGGGGTGATGCAACGGCAAGTTGAAATCAACACCCCATTATGCTAAATGTATCTTGAGAGGTCTGTATCGCTGCTAGATGTTAATCTGTCTGCCTTGGATGCTACTATACTACTATGAATTATATGATGCACAATAGGAAGTCTTAATACCCCACTTTGCTGGGAATTGGTTCAACCTCGTCTATAGCCTACCTTGTGATTTTTGTTCCAGTATTAATAAAAACAGTTACATGTAAGAATGCTCTAAAAAGCAGATACATCAGCATTATATGATGAGCAGAGCAGACGGTCACACTGAGCCAGACGCCAGCCTGCTACACAACAAGAGCCACAGCAATAACAAGACACCTACCACTGCTAATGTCATGTGTGTTTGTGTTTCTGTTTTAAGAGGGATTCTCAAACAGCATTATTAACTAAGAACAACATTTCATCTGGAATTTGTAGCCACTTGAGGAATGTACAGTGTTCACTTTCCTACTAGCTCTGTTGAGGTCTCCTTTAAGCACTGAGGGCAATATCTGGTTCTGTTGGAGCTAAACACTCCACTGTGCACCAAGCTAGTCGCTAACTTTGTATGGTGTTGAGCAGGTAGTGTTAAAACAGAAAACTAACTAATGCTAATTCACTAACAGCACTTTGATAAATAAGGGCTCTGGTCTGAGTGTTTAATTATTGGCAGTTTCAGGCCTGTGGAAATGACACCAGTAGGACTTGGGAAAACTAATGATGACTTGCACACTCCTATCAGCCAGTGAACTCTTGGTCACCCATTACATGCATTACACTGCTGGTGAGGCACGTGGGCCGAAAAGAGAGGAGCCACGTGCCTTTTCGGATTCTTTCTCCCTCGATCCGATTCGCTCTCCTCTTCCATCTTTCTCTCTCTGACACACACCCACAGAAAACACACTGGAGACATTAATGGGTCCAAACCAGGCGAAGAAAAAAAATACATAGTCATAAGATATAAAAGGAAATGAGGAGAGGAGGGACTCGTACAAGAGGGGTTGAAGGATTAAGTGCTATTAGAGTACAAATGATAGAAAGTGAGTATAAAATGATCACATCAGTCCTTGGAAAAGTCTTAGATGAGTTCAATAAAAAACCTGACGTGTGCCGTAACTTGTTAGCCTGAGAGACGTGATCTTTATAGCAAAACCTTCCAAAACAGCTGCTGAATAAAAGTCTTACTTGTAAATAAGGTCACATTCAGAGGTACCTGCTTGCCAGTAGCAAACAAATGCAGTGATGGGAAACTATTTCATGCGGCACAGGTACAAAAGATAAACTCCATGGTTTCTGTCCAGTGTTTCACAGCCAGCTGGTGAGGGCCAGGGCTGCACTTCCCGCTAAACCCTGTCATTTATCTTCTCATAAATCAGTCGACTTTTACAAGACACTTAACAAGAGTCTGCACAGACAAGAGGGAATGAGCTGCAGACTTATTGAGATATCAAATAACACCTCTGCAGCCTTATCAGTATAATTACATGATGTTGTTGACGAGGAGACAGGAGGACAGGAAAAAAGTTGTTATTTAAATGAATCCTGTAACTTATTTAGAGCGGGAATTACGTGGAAGTGTCTGTCCAAAGAGTGGGACACATATGGAATCAGGCATTTATTCTGTGTCCTGTGTCAATTCACATTCAATCACACTTGGGGTCTCTCCAAGCTACACTGATTACTAGACTTGAAACATGAGCTCTCTCTCTCTCTCTCTCTCTCTCTCTCTCTCACTCACACACACACACACACACACACACACACACACAAATACATTTGAGTCATAAAAACACAACAAGGGCTCTAAATTATCTTTTGATTTATTTATTTATTTAAATAATGCCCTGATATGCCTCTGGTATACAATTTCAAATCAAAACAAAAAAGCTGAATTTGATTAAGTTGAGTCAGCTGTAGCTGTCATGCGGGTGTAGACACACACACACACACACACACGGCCCCCTTGTGGTTGCACAAGATCAGAAACATCCACAACACCGCAAACTCCTCACTTCCTCTGAGATGAGAATATATTTCACAACAAAAAGGTCTTGACTTTCCTTTCAAACATAACTTTTGTAACTTTGTGCAGCTGGAAGACCTGTTATATCCAATTCAAATGTTTGAATGAAGAAATTCTCACAAGCAACTACCAGACCTTCTGTAAGCTCACTCACATCAACAAGTGACTGAACAAGCAAAATGTAAAACTGGAGAAATTCTGGAGAAAAGTAATTAAAGCACTTCAGTCCATGTGGACAGCAAACCGTTAACACCAGCTTCAGTGTTCTTGTTAAAAGGGTTAAATACACACCGACGGCCACAGAGAGACATTTAATCGATAGAGAGGGGCATAGTGAGGAAGCCTATATTTGGCTCAGTCCATTCTCCTTAGTTTATTGTAGACGAGGCATCCATGTCGTCCACTGCACTGCTCCAGAGCTGAAATCATTAGCACTTCTGAAAACAAGCTAGTTCTCCTGTTTCATTTAAATGAGGTTATTACTTTCTATTGTCAGTTAAAAGGCCACAGTATGACTTAATTCATAAATCACTTCAGAGTTTCTTCTGCAGCGACTTTACTATACACATCTGGCTGACATTTCATTGTTTATTCACCACGAATCACAAGGAAGATACGCAAACTGTTTTTCAATGGCAAAATTAACTGAATTCGTTACTCATGTGTGAACCCTTTGTGATTAAAGTGAATGGTATGCTGTGACTAAACATACAGCTAAAACATAACAGCCTCCTCAAACATCTCTGTAGAAACATATGCAGCAGATATGTAAGAAATAAGCAACTGTTGATGTGATTTTTTTATTTCTTTTATTTTTAATTCAGAATTCCGGACATTACAACATGTATTTTGACAATGCAGGAAAAGCTCAGGTGCAGTGTATAAAATTAATAATGGCTCCATTCCATCAAGTGTTCCAGTATGTCAGTGAGTGAGCCTGCACAATACCAGAACACTGGAAGTGGCTACGACTATTCCTTCAAAGTGTGCTTGACAACATGTCTGCAGTGAAAAGGGTCTATTAGGTGAATGGTGTTCACATTTGCATATCATATAAGACTGTTTGATTGATTAATCAACTGTTAAATCTAGAGAAAATTAATTGGCAACTATTTTGATTAGTTTAGATTGATTGTTAAGATCATTTTTATATAAAGGTCAAACATGCTGAATATTCTCTTCTCCAATATGAGGATTTGCATTTCTGTTTGTAATATTAAAAGATCTTAAGCTTTTGTATTGTCGGTCGAACAAAACAAGCAAACTGAAGCTTTTTCCGTGGGCTCTGAGAAACTGTGAATGCCATTTATTCACAATTTTTACATTTTATAGACTGAAAGGTCATTGGTTAATCTAAAAGATAATTGCAGATAATCAATAAATACTATCACACCCTGGACCCTACCCAGAACCGTCACAGAGGGTAAGAAGAAAAGAAAAACAAATGTTCAAAAGAAAAAAAGGTTTATTTTGTAATTGTTATTCCACATATTATTGTTACAGTACTAGTATTACTTATACAGCAATGAGGTCTACAGAACCCCAAACAATAAGGGAGTCACCCAAATGTCAAATAAACACAAGGGTTAAATTAGTTTTCACTTTCTTCCAGAGACTGTTTGCACACTATTGCATTATCATAAATCACACGCCCAGCAACTTGGCAGCAACTTGAGCAGAGGTCTGAAGCAGGAGACAGATGCTTTTCTCACATGGGCAAACATCGACCCACCTTGTCAGGAACATCCTCCACCAGTGGGACTCTTCATCTGTTCTCACTTCTCTGCCCGAAATTATCCTCCAGTGTGAAAACACTACATGTCAGTCTGTCAGCATGCGTTAATGATTTCCTCCTGCATTTGGTGTTTTCCATTTTTCACCTTCCCTGCTCTGCAGTGACAGTGACTTCATGCGGGTAAAAGATCCATACCGAGCCAGTACAGAGCCACTTGTTGCTGCAGCTGTCACTCTTCACCCATCATTGACTTTTAACCTGATGAGGCAGAAAGAAGGCACACCCACCCTGTTCCATCACCATGGTGATTTAGATTTTCTAATATTAAATTAAACTCAGTGACGCCATCACTGGCCACCAGCACACCCAGTGACCTCACCAAACCACACCAAATATAATCCAAACCTCTGGAACAATGCTCATACTGAAACAGAACAAAAAAACAGCAGCTGGATCCAATTTTTTATGCATGCAGGACACACAGTTCATAGTTTTATTGTTCCAGCAGGCCAGTGCTATGTTTACACAATGTCCTTTACTTGTGCATAGGCGTTAAATTACACAGCCAAATCCTGGCATATGTGTGTAAGTGTGTGACCCAGGGTGATTACTGCTATACACTCTTCTAGAAACAGTCATGGACACAGACGCGCCTATAATCCATACCTACTGAGGTTAATCTGCTCTTCAGATTATCCAACACCTGGTTCAACAGCATAGTGGAAAAAGCCAATATATCAGTGCAGTGGGAAGAGACAGAGCGAGTTTCTTTTCTTGACAATGGCAATAGTAATGGTAGAAGTATTTATATTCTTTACTTCAGTAAAAGTAGTAAAGTAACAGTACTCTGTTAAGTAAAAGTCACACATTTAGAATTTTACTTAAAGTAATAGTTTGACATTTTTGGAAATACACATATTTGCTGAGTTAGATGAGGAAATTGAGACTCCTCTCATGTCTGTGCAGTAAATATGAAGCTAACAGGTTCGCCTAGCTTAGTATAAAGGCTGGAAATATGGGAAAAAGCTAGCTATTTTATGATATGATATCTTTGCAGTGGTGTACTGGCAATTGTGCAGTTTTTATACAAAAACAAATCATATCTGACAGGCTGATCACATGTTTTGTAAAGTAACTAGGAACTAAAACTGCATAAAACTCAAGTACCTTACAAGCTTAAGTATTGTACTAAGACATTTCACCACTGGACCAAAGTCTGCATTTCATATAAAACATTTTATTTTTGTACATGTTACAATTTGTTGGTAGTAATTTACACAGCTGCACGGTATGATAACACTGTTAAAGTGGTGAAACAGTTATCAGTATAAAAAGTTGTTCATATATTGAAACAGTTGAGACACACATGATTTACATCCTACAACTGTTAACGTCTTCAATGTTATTTACATGACAGAACACTGTATGGGATGTTTGTCCAGGTGGCAGATGGAGGATGTTGACAAAAACTGAATGCAGACACAAAAAAGCATGCAAATAAAAATAAATTGGAAAATGCAGATTGCAAAAGGCATGACACTGTGACAAGTGTCTGCTTCACCGGTGTTTTTCGCTTGTGTAGACCCCTAAAATAAGAGCAAAGGGCAAGAAGCGTGAAATGTAAACAAGTAGCTAGGACATGATCTACGTGTCTAACTCTGACCTAGTGAGAGGACTGACCGCCACGCTGTCCGACAACAAGCGGAAACCTACAAATTGTAATCGGCTGCAGCTGTGAGGGTCCTCTCAAGGGAGAACAAGGATCAAGCACGAGTCCAGGGAGGAACATGACAATACCAAAGAAAACACTGGAATTAGTCTATTAGAATTTCCAGATCGAGGAACAGGATCATGGCCAAACAAGTAGTCACAGGGCAGATTGTTTTTTTTTAAGAACTGTTGGTAACCTTGACGTTCTTTCAGCAGGAGATGCAGCTTGAGGTTGTCTTTCCACAGAGCACATGTTGTTTATCAGCTTGCCTTTCCTGGTTCTCCTGTTCTTTCAGTTGCATTACATCTGAAAGCAGTCCATTTGATCAAATCCCTGGGCCGCTTGCCCCACAGCGTTTTTCCACTGAAACGTGTTTTCACTTATTTCTGGATCCCAGAGCTATAAAGGGTTCATGCTCTCTGCCTTTCTCCTATCGCCACTGTTTTCACTTTGTCATGTCTACCACGCCATACATTTACAAACATACAGCTGTAAAAGGCAGAAAAATCACCTGCCACTAGGGAAATAGCTGGTAAAACATTCAGATTGTGAAAAGCTGCTTTTACACTGATGAACAGTATAGTACATACACTGACACTAAATTTGGCCTCCTTAAAGAATTAGAAATCAACCTTTTAGGAAATACTTCTTGTTTGCTTTCTGGCGGAGTTGAGTGGAAGATCGATGCCCTTTTCATACCTGTACATTTAATGTAGGGCTACAGCAGGCAGGAGTTTAACTTGGCTTACCAAAGAGGTTACAGCTTAGATAACGGCTGCTTGTTGTAGCTTCATATTTTACCCAACAGATATGAAAGTTCAATCTAACTCTCCACCAGAAAGGGAACACACGTATTTCCCAAAATGTTAAACTATTCCTTTAATGTACAATAGTATATATAGAGTTGATCCATTGCTGTTGCTTTTGAATTGTAAAAATAGAGACCACTACATTTCAAAGAGTATTTAAAAGTAAGATAGCACCATTGACTAATAAAGAGCAGCTCTCTCTGAGAAGACCTAAAGAGTAATTTTGAGCTTTGTAGACACAAAATAGTGAAGAACTATTTACAACAATATGTTAACTATCAAACATCCTAACACTATATAAAACACTATAAGCAAAACTATATACATATTCACAGTTTGGAGTTCTTCCCTTTAAGAATGGACAGATATGAGTATGATTTCACTAAGCAAAAGTACCACTGTACACAATACTGTTAGGTGTCTGACAACATTTCAAGTAATAGGATGCGGTCCAGTTTTCCCCAAAGGGAGACGTCCAGTAGATGAGCAGCAAACACGACCCTTGATGTCACAGCCAGCTCACCCAGTCAAGAGAAGGCACCGAGGAAGGAGGAAGAACAGTCTGCCCACACAGGCAGGGACATATGCAGACACAGAGAGGTTGATGTTGTGAGTTGGTCTAGAAAATAAAGATCAGTGGGCTGAATGCAGTCCATCTTAAACAGTCCAGAGTGCCATGGTGAGCAAGTGGAGAGTCTTCACATGTTTCTGTGCAACAGAAAAACTGTCAGTCCACATTTGTAGACATCAAATATACACACTACACAGTTTTCTACTCTACAGTTTTAAGTTTAGTCCCAATGTAGTCTCTTACTTCTAAGTGTCTTAAATGGTCTTGATTGAGCAAATTGAATTTGGTCTTGGAAACACCTTATTCTATCTAATCCCATATATTAACCTTTGTAATATATTTATTGCTATTTTATGACACTTTTACACAATTACAAGGTCTATATTAACTTCTGCTAATTTTGCTAAATCTTTTGGTATACATATCCTTGCATTAAGTATTTTGCACCATGGTATGGATCTTTAAGGGAATTATAATTGAAACTAATTTAAATTGAGGCCACACAGTCTTCAAGTGAAGAATAAATACCTTGTTCACAGGAGATTTTCATGTCTGTGCAGAGGAGCTCTCTCTGCAGGTATCCACGACACTGTAGCACACACAAACAAACACAATAGATTTCATCTTTCTAGGCTAATTAGTTACTTCATTTTCTGCACAAACAAGTACCCACAGCACAGGTTTATCTAGCATGAAGGATCTCCATGGCACACAGAGCAGTGATCTACAGCCAGATACCACTTAAAAACAATCACCACTGTTTAACACAGGCACACTGCTACTGCCAGACTGCTGGCAAATGAAGGAATGTCTGTGTCTCATAATGGTTTCTGTCTCACTGTATCAGCTCTGGGCCTGGCTGGTGAAGATTTAAGAATGATAAATCTGTTTCCACACTGGTTTGGCATGGCTTGAACTCTGCATCTCCTCCAGCTCTCAACTAACAAACGAATCAGTACAATCTTGCCAGACTCCTGTATCTCAAACTCACTTCCCTTTTTCCTCATATCCTGGTTTGTTTGGCCCATGTGTTTATCTCATTGCAGCATAGAAGAAAAAATTAGAGAGGCACTCACGCTTGATGCTGCCGTACAAAATCTGCAAACTGCCGGTCCTTAGCGTAGAGCTCGATAATGCGTATCCTGTCTTGGATTTCCTGCAGAAATACATGATATCATTAGGGAGGGAGCATTACATCACAGACAGATAAACAGTAAACTGGACAGGCTGAAGCTCAATCAAAACCTGACATTTTACAAAAAAAAGTTATTATGACTTTCCTATTTAAGCGGCAAAAGCCAGTTGGTGATGGAACAAGTTTACAACCTGAGATTTCCTAATTCAGATCCTTGTCAAGTAAAATCTCCTCGTAGGAAATGAAACGATGTGCCCTGCCTGGGTCAATACCGAACATCCAGATGGCCTTAAGCAAAGTACAGCTCCCACCTGCACTTGAGTACAACTGTATACATTTTTGTGTGTGAAATTAGAAATTTCAACGCACTCAGTGTATATCCACATTAGGTTGATTAAATTTCAAAAAACACATCTTTTCTCTCCCACAAAAAGGGAGCTTTTCCAAAACTGTCTTCAGAAGGTGTAAATCTTAAAATGCCATTTTATTGCGGGGAAACAAAGCTTTTGCAAAAATATGACATAAGCCAGTCCAGTGAGGGTCAGGGGTTGTGAGCCAGTAAAGTTAAGAAGACGACCTTTAGTGGCATTTAACTGTCTCACCTATTTTAAATATGAATATACCCAATCACACTGACTGTCAGACAATATCTCAATAATAAAATAATGACTTTATCAGCACTGTGGCACAGCAACTCAGTATGACTGCTGCTTAACATCTCTTCTAAATCAACCAGTAGATAGTAGCCCCCACACACACCTCCTTTGTCAGTTCACTGTTCTCATAGATGTGTCGTATCTCCTCGCTGCTGAAGTCAGTGGAGGCCTCAGCACTGGCGCTACTGTACACAGGAGCTTCAGGATAGCGCCGGTAGTAGTGGCTGTAGCCTGTTGTGGCTTCACTCTCAAACATGGGGTTATACTTTGTCGCCCTCTCCAGAGATGGGAGGCTCTCTGCTCGCCTGCGGAGTAACAGACCAACAGAAAAATTAGTCACAATGTAAAGGCAGGATGATAAATAAAGCAACACAACAGAAGCGAGAAGAGAAAACCAATGCAGTGAAAAAGGCTTTGCGTTCATTAACCTTTATTAACCCTCCATAAGTCCTTTCTCCCTGAGTCGGACTCCAGTCTGGGGTCCAGATTGTCATAAAGCCTATTGTGTTAGGTGTTTAAGGCTTTTTGGAAATAGATCAGCAACATATCTGATCAGTTAATTGGCTGAGGTTAACACTGTGTTTCTTCACACACTACTCTGGGAATCATGCCAGACACACATATATACACATAGACAGATGGTGAACAGATACTGTGTCTCTTTGGGTCTGCAAAAGAAAGAAAAAAGTGAAGAAAGGATCAAAGCAGGACAGGAGGAAAGAGACACCCAGGCAAAGGCCATTGCTGTAAGTCTAGAGGGGTGAAGGGATAGTGAAGTGGATCGTTTTGGCCGTCTAACTGAGGATACAGTCATGGGATGTCTCAACTTATTCTGTCCCCTCAAGAAAGTAACCAGGCTCCTTTAATCTAAAGAGGATTACGTGGAGGAGAGAAAACTTCAGACACACTAAATTTAAGTGTTTCTGTTCACTATCAAACAGACAAGCAAGTGTTGTTTATTTTCAGGGGTAGAGTTAACAGCTTTTGCAGGCGGATAAAAAGGAATCTTACTGGGTAATTCTTCATATACTGTTTATCTTATTAAGCTTTACAGTATAACTCAATAACGTTTTTTCTTCCTAAGGCAGCATGTTTTTTGGATGCAACTTTTTAATGGCAAAAAAGTGACATGACACAGATTAGAAGGCTAGATATAAATCACGTGTGTGTGTCTCTCATCATCAAGGATGGCTGAAAAGTTTGGCCATATGGTATGTGAGTGGTTTCCTCACCGTATGGGGTCCTCTGACTCATCCTTGTCATACTGATCTCGTAACGTCCTGGCAAGGAAAAAGATGACTCCGGAGGCCACCAATAGGAATCCAGCTACGGAGGCAATCGCTATGCCGACCACCAGCGGCTCGGATACGTATTCCTCACAGTGCTCTCCTCTGTACCACCAATTCTCCCCGACGCGACACCTGAGATGACAACACAAATTTGTCAGCAATGTCCCAAAATTATTTCCACAAAGACTGGTGTAGATTCCTGTTTAAAACTCACAGCACAGCAGAAGAACAAAATGTTACAGAGCATGCCCATTACTCTTCTTCTGTTTTTTATCCTCTGTTAAATGATTAAAGAATGTTAAAATGAGTGACTGAATCCTCAATCATGTTCGTATTTTGTCTTGACATAGTTCATGACATGTCTACAATTATACAGTTCTGTAAGTGTCATTAAATCAGAAATGCCTTGTTTTGGAATTACTGTAATAATCCCCAAATGTTTGTTTCTTGTCGCCATGGAGCAACGAAATACTTTTGGTTGGACGGCGTGAAGTAAACAACAATCCAATAGCATCTGCAGCTGCCTGTATGTTTTATGCTGTGGTGGTGGGTGTGAAACAAAGGTTAGCACTCCTCTTGGCACAGAGTCTCCTGTCAGTCTGTTCTCAATCATTCAATTTATAGCGCACCACATACAGCCGTGTGAACAGAGCCAGGGGACATGTTTGTGTCCCTGATTTGGATTATTGGCATTTCATTTTACACACAATAACCCATGCAAATGTCTGGACATGATGGAAACACAAACACTTACAAAAACACACACAACAAAGTCTGTAAGTAAGCCTTTGAAATGTTGTACATAATAAAATAAATAAAATATGGCTGTAACACTATATAATGAACAACATTTCACTCAACAAAAATGTGATAATTTGCATCCTGGGGCTTAGAAAATGGATCACAATATTAATCAAATCTTAGCAATTATGCCTTCCCAGATGGTACTCGTTGTTTTCATTTATTTACAGTACATTTAATGCCAAAGGGCACGATTACATTAACATAGTAAACAGCCAAAGGTTTGAGTGCTGACTAAAAATGTTGACATTATCTTTTTAACAAAGAACCGTCATCCAGGCCAAAAAAATATAAATGTTTGAAGACTGTTAATTGGGGTATGGAGCCAACTAAGGTGTAAAAACAAAAAGCCCTATTGCATGGAGTTGGTTATGATTATAGTTCATTAGGCTAGAACACATGTTAAGCTTCCAAGTATGAGGAGCCAAATGAAAAAGAATGCTTTGGAACAAATGCTTGGAGTGCATTGGACATCTCTTGTCTCCACATGATCAACTTCCAGCCAAGCAAACCAACTTTAAATATAGAAGAGGAAGAAGAATCTGGCCTCGTGCAGGATTTGAAAAGCTGTTGGGTTTTCTGTGATGAAGCACTGGCTTTGTAACTTGCAAACTCAGACACTCTTTCCCACACACACGCAGATCACTTCCCCTAATCCCCACCCACCTGCAGATGGCTCCCTGGCCAGGGATGATGTCACACTTGCCGTCATTGAGGCAGAAGTCATTTCGCAGCTCACAGATACTCTGACAGGGCAGGCTGTCCACACTGAAGTAGCCAGCATTACAGACACACTCCGCCTCCCCTGACCACTTGTTCACCTTACACTCTGCATACTCGTTACACGCCTGGAACTTACAGGGGTCGGCCTGGTCACCTGCAAACGAAAGAACCAGGATTGCTGACTTTAAGGTATCAAGAGAGACTGTAGTAAGGTTGACTACAGGTTGTTCTTTTCATGCAGTGATCAGCATTTAAAAGAGGAGATATGCAAAAATTTGTTTCCAAAATGATATGAATACCCTTAAAAAAGGTAACACAGACTTAATGGAATAGGCCAACATTTTGGAAAATGCGCTTCTTCGATTGATACCAATCTCATGTCTGTACGATAAATAGCTTAGAGAAAACGACGAGCCTGGCGCTGCCATTGGATTAAAAAATGCATTGATTAGCACCTCTAACATTGCAAATTATGTTTTTTACACTTCAGGTTACAAATAAAACAAATAAGATATAACATGTTAATCAGTGATCTTAAGAGGTGCCGTTCCAGTCCAAACTAACTGGCTGCTAAATATGGTAAATATTTACCGTTCAGATCTGAGAGTGGTATCAATCTTCTCATCTAACTCTCTGCAAGAAAGCAAATACTACAATGCTGCACATTTCCCAAAATGAAAATGAAACTATTCTATCAAATTACACCAAAAATAAACACAAAATTAAGCAAACTCAACAACTGCAGCCCCAATGCATGTTGGGATCCAGTATTGTGTGTTAGCTGTGACTCAGATTGATTATGACAGCTGAGTCATGTAAACACAAGCATGAATCGATGATATCATGAATGGCCGATTACAAGCTAACTGATGTTCTCAGACACAGACGCTTGGAGATCGATACCACATGGGGAAATAAAAAATGTGCACAGAAAATGTTGTGCTGAGTCAATAACTGAGCCACCATTATCAGATACTAAGGTAATATAGTAAACACGCTGCGTAAAACCAGAGCTGCACGCAGTAATCAATCAAAGTGCACTTAATGATATGTGTAAACTGGGCTGCTGTCCAGGGAAGCCCTGATTATCTCATCACAGCTGAGTGACCGTGACATTCGCCTCATGAGACCACAAAGTGTCATGACAGGGATTCAGCACCTGCTTTCTCAGGCCTTTTCACACACTAACATGTTTTTAATACTGACTCAGTGTCATTATTTTACAAAACAATGTTCTGAGATCATCCAGTTATGGGAATAGTTCGAAGTTTGGGGAAATATGCTTTCTTGCATAGAGTTGGATGAAAAGAGTGAAGCTACTTTCATATCTGTACTTTCAATATGAAGCTGGAACCAGTAGCTGGTTAGCTTAGCTCAGCTTTTAGACTAGAAATAGAAGGAGAACAGTTAGCCTGACTACAAGCACCTCCAAATCTCGTTAGCTATTTCATGTTTGTTTAAAACAACAGTTTGTGGTTTTACAGGAGGTTATGTGTGGTACTATTTCTTGGCTGGGCACAGTGACTTCCTGAGTTTTACAGGTGCTGGTTGGTGGATTTTGTTACATTTGGACAGACTACCTGTTTCCTCTTGTTTCCAGTCTGGACAGGCTAGCTGTTTCCTTGTTTCCTGCTGAGCTAACATAACTGTGTACTGGCTCTAGCTTCATATTTACTGTGCAGACCCAGGAGTAGTTAAATCATCTAATCTAATTCTCAGCAAGGCAGCAAATAAGCATACTACAGTTGATGCTATGACAGTTGTTTTGTTGTTGATAAAAGAATTAATAAAAACACAATACAGTGCACATCAGAGAAAACCCACCCGACTCAACGTCCAGTGAGTACTTATCGATGGCCAGGTTCATGGTCTGGTAAGCTGTATTACAGAAGTCCTCCAGGATCAGATAGACTGTGGTGGTGACGCCTTGTTGCACGGGCTTGCCAAATTTCATCCGGCTGTTGACCACAATGCTCCCGTTCCTGAAGTTCAAGATCTCCAGGTTCTCAAAGTGACTCAGGTTGGACTGCAGGTAGGGCACAAGCTGGGAAAAGATTGAAAAATGTGCAGTTTGATGTTACAAACCAGAGGCTTTGATACAATAGTGGAGATACTGATACAAGTCTGGTAAATGTGAGAAATTTACCAGCTCTAGGAAGCGTTGCTCCAAAGCTTTGTATTCTGGGGAGCTCTTGTTAAAGAGATCATCTGAGAAGATCATGTTGGTCACCCTTAGGCTGAAGAACACCATCAGTGCTCGTCCAGGGTTCACAGGCATGGCGATACTGGCTTGGTCTGTGCCGTGTGCCACGCCAAATGGAAAGCCAGTGCTGCCCTCCTCTGTGTGGTTTATTAAACCAAAACCATAATGGATCACGTCAAAGCCCTGGTCCCCGATGGTGGCATCATCCAAGCCTTCATTAGGGGTCTGGATCTGGGGGATAAAAGAAAAAGTGGATTGATTTTGAGATGAGCCTTTAAACTTCTCAGTGGGGTACAACAGTGTTTATAGGTCTGCTTTTAAATCCCTACAAATTCAAAGTCAAACTGAAATAAAAATGTTATTGATTTTTCTGCAGAGATAGTGCACCCCAGGCTACATTTATGTAGCGCCTGAAAGATGACAGTCCTCATAACACTGGCTCTCAAACATCAAACACATCAACCGTTGCCAAGGCAAACACTCACCCCAAAGGCCTGAAGTTTAGATGTTGTTTCCAAAGATTTGTACAACAATGTTTTATCCTCATTTTAAAATGGAAAACATGCACATTAGCTGCAGTATCAATATAGTTTATATTTTTTTAAAGGAAAGTAAGACATGATTCCTTTCAAAAACTAAAATTGTGTATTTGTGATACTTGATGCTCTACTAATTTTCGCAAAAATATCAACATCGATTCTTTTCCTTTACCTCCACCAGTGAAGGGATGATGATGTCCGGTTGCCCCTCAATGGCAGGGTCTACATCAGAGATACGAGTGAAAGGCGACTCCCTCTCTGGAGACAGGGCAGTCGGTTTAGCAGGGCTCACAAAATCTGTCACTGGTGGTTTTGGTTCATCCTCGTTGACCAGTAAGATCTCATCCTCTGTAAGATCCTGTGTCGAGATCTCTAGAGCTGCTGTGGTCTCTTCTTCTACAGCTGGAGCTTCGGGTAACGTCTCTTCCTTCACCTCTTGTCCCTCGCTCTCTGTTGCTTCCTCCATGCCAGCCTCTTCAAATACAGGTTCCTCAGGATAGGTCACCACCACATTAACGTCTTCGTCTTCCACAGGCTGTATGGGGTAAACTTCCTCATTATCAAGTGGAACATCTGTGAGGTTTGACTCTTCCTCTGTGACCTCCACAGAGTCTTCATCAAGAGGAAGCAGACCGGTTTCTGCCGCCTCCGGCTCTGATGCTTCACCCGCTACATCTACAGACTCAGGAGGTGGGACTAGGGCGGGCAGGCCTTCTTCTTCTGTGGTCTCAGCTGCAATTGTGGAGATCTCAAGCTCCTCTGGAATCTCTGCTTCATTCACAACAACCTCATCCGGATGCTCCTCTTCCACAGCTGTAATAGTAGGTTCTTCTCCCACTGCCACAACATCAACTCCTGCTGTTACAGCTTCAGACACAACATCTGCATTTATGGTGACATCTTCTGTTACCAGCCCATCTTCTGAACCAGTCTCCTCAAAAGACTCTTCTTCTGCTGCTGCTGCTGCTGCTGCTGTGGGTGTAGATGGCTGGAGCAGGTCCTCCAAGTCATCTGCGCCAGAACCAGAGGCCTCGACTTCCACTGGTGGTTCAGGCAGTGTGACACCCTCTGGCAGCTCAGGGGAGGGAAGCTCAGCTGGGAGCTCCTCTGGTGGAGGGTTTTCTACAGCAGGAGTCTGCACAGTGTCCTCCAGCAACAGACCCTCTTCTTCAAAGCCTAGAAAAACAAAGACAAGAGGAGACTCTCTTGTTGGTCTCCTTTGATAGAAACTGGCTACTTGTTTCCAGAGCAAACAGATCTATCCAACAAACTAGACAAAACATTTGACATAATCGACAAAATGAGAATTGAGAGATTCAGAAAATCATCCATCCCTTTCCTAAGAAGTAATTTCAGTGCATAACATAACATAATGTAGTAAAGTTTTTATATATTGTGCTGGCGTGCATGCTTTAAATGCAGCCATCAGTGTAAATTGTCATGTAACCTGCAAACAAGGGAAATAATAATAGAAAAGGTAGATGTGAAAAAGAAAAAGCATCATACGGGGATAAACTGCATGTGTGAATTTATGCTTGTGTTTAAAATAAACACTCACTGCCAGCTTCAGGTGCAGTAGTGGTCAGGACAGGAGCTGGAGGCACAACTGCACTCTCCTCTAGAACAATGATGTCCATATCTGCTGTCGCCACTGTGCTGGTTTCAAAGAGCTCGGGCAGGATATCATCTCTGTTGACATCTTCAGCGTTCTCTTCTAGGATCACAACCTCTGGTTGCTCAGCAGCGTCATCAATCTGCATCACAAGCAGGCATTATGATGTAAACCATTTCGTCACTATTTAACTGGAGTGTGTCATGCAACAGGAGCCGGCTGTTTAAAGGTCAGACCATTCAGATCTCCTCCTGCTGCTGCTTTGTGGTTTGGACACAATTTTTACAAGGTACACTATGTATATGTCTTTACATTAAAGTTATCACAAAACTGAAACTGTAAATAATAAAGCAAAAAACTGAACAAAACCATGAGATTGAATGTGACAGGCATCAAAAACATTCTATCTACTATCAAAATTTTATTTTGCCATTCTTTTTAAGATTTCAGTTATTACTTAGGTTTTAAATCTGTCAGAAGTGTGTCAGCAGTGATGTCACGGTGTACTGACACCCTTGATCTGTGGTTGCCAACCTTATTTCCTTAAGGAGGTGAGTTTTCAGATGGTTTTAGGATTTTTTTATACGATTCTGTTTGTATTGTGTATTTTTTATTTTTTAATAACCATACATTCTATCTAAGCAAACCATTTCATTTAATTTTCAAAATGCTGAGACATAGGTTTTCTGACACTTTAAAATCAAGAAGCTGTTTTGTCACTGTTTACTTGTGTTTAGTAGAATTCAGTTTTTCTATGACTAGCTTACTGCTAACCAAGCTAGCCACTATACTAGCTGAGGCTAATGTGCTTTGTTTCTTCTTGACATGAAGGACAATGTAACTAATTAGCTTACATACTAGTCTATATTTTTGTGAATCCAGTTTCCTTGTTGCTGTGCAAAATAGTTTCTACAATACATTTGGTCTAACTCTTGTTTATCTAACACTTGTTTTATAATCGCTGTCATTGAATGTATTGTCCAATAGTGTTTTCAGTGTCACAGTTGCTTGCAATAAAAGCATGAAAGGAAATCCACTGTCTTCAAAAGATTTACTTTGAGTTTATGAATTATTCACAATCATATAAATGCAAATGTAATTAATAAATGCATGATGGATTTTTAAATGTATTAATGTAATGACTGGCCTGTTAAATTCTCTAATTATTTTTGTGGCATACTGCAGGCTTCATATTTCTAATAACGGAAAACTTGAAAAAAAAACAAAAAACAGGAGCTAAATCTAAAATGTTCCAAATCAGGGCAGCAAAATGCTTCGGTGGCACAGTAGCTCTCTGCTCTTGCCTGTGAATCAATTACAGATGATAAGTTTGCCAAACTTTCCCAATTCATATAATGAGTCAAATTAATCACTTAGCAAGCTGAGCTATAAAGTGAACCAGCAGACACATTTAGTGCAACCCAAACTCTGATTACCATCAAACAGCACAGTCAACCACAAGACAGCACATATAAAGACAGACTTTAGATGATATTATTTGTCTGAATAAACTCATATGTGCTGTCTCTTTACTTGCTGTGGGGTGGTGCACTGTAGCCTTTGCCCTAGAATAGCAGTGGATTATTAAAGCAAGAGCCAAACTAATCCTCAAAGCCTCACTTGATCCTCACTGGTGAGCTCATCCCCTACCTGCACTGGTGTGGTCTGGATACTATCACAAGCCAGTTACAGGTTATCACAACATTGCTCATACTGCAACTGTCAGCTTCCTTAAAACAAAAGTGATTTATCAGCTGTGGAGCTCAAAACACCTGGATGGCCTGAAGAGAGATTGTTGTCATGATAGTTGTGGAGGCAACTTGTTACTCACCATGGCTCCGTCTGCAGTGTTGACAGACTCAGGGACCTCAGACACTGTGGAACCAGGGGAGAAACAAATATTAATACAAACTGACACAAAAAAGGCAAATGTGCCAAATAGCTAATATAATCATGGCTGCAGGAGTCTACAGAATCCTTTTTACTATTACCACTTCAGCACAGCCTTCATTTTGACAGCATTACCTTCAGGGGTAAATATCTACAAATCAGCGCTAAAATCTGGAGTGAATATCAGCCGCTGTGCGCCAAGGCTATTACTGCATCACCACCAAGGCAGAAAAACAAAGCCAAGCTGTGCCTTTAACTTCCCCAGCCACACATGTCAGCCATATGAGAGTGTTTAGCCATCATTTCACATGTCCAAGATTATAATTAATGTGAGCATCAGATGGCATTCATCTCCAGGGGAGCTCGCTAACACAGTGAACAAATGACACGCATTCTCTCAAAAACATGAGCAGGGAGAAATCTCACAGGAGGAGAAGATGCTATAGACATTATCACATCCTTCAGTTTCTGGAGAAGGGCCCTGGTCAGAAGTAGGAGGTTGCTAACCTACTTACTGACTGGCCATGTCTAACAGATGCAGTGTTTCAAATCTCCCCATGTGAGCAACTGTGTATGTGAAAAACATGAAACCTTTTGTGGAGCAGTGCAAAATCTGATGTACAGCACCGGTTGGGGCTTGAGACCACAAGTTTAAAAATGTAAAATATATCGAGGTTTGAACTTTGTAAGAAGTAAGCATAGCATCAGCCCACTCCTCATTCTCTGCTTGAGGCTAGCGGCTCATAAAACACCTGAATCTCCGACCAAACTGTCGGCGGTTGGGTTGCACTGTGGTTAATGCAGACACCAGGTTTCGACAAGGAAGAAGAATATGTGGAATAGAAAAGACAAAATCTCTGGTTCTACAGCATCAAGTTATATTCTTATAAGACTTATAATCTCCTTAACCTGTCTGATTACGTTACAGGCGTGCAATCCTTAATAGGTAAATTACTCTTATAAAAGTTAGCTGTAAGATGTTCTGGGTGTAAGCCAAAATAAAGGAGTGAAGTAAAGCAGAAAAAACCGGAGACCTCAGATTTCAAAAGTCTCCTTTGCTCAGTTCTCTTTTGCAGACCATGTAATGACAATTATTTAACTGTAGCACAAAATAAATACACAGTTCCTATTACTGATGATGTGTTATTTGTTCATTAAAAATGGCCCACTTTTGAGCTGAAACTTCTTACAAATATGTCTCTGTCGTCTTTGACAGAAAGAGCAGACAAATAAGAAACAGATGAGACTATTAAAACCCTGGAATGTTTTCTCAAGTGGTGTAGCGTATGTTGTAATATCAATGCTGGGTCTACTGTGTCTCTATTTGATATGACATTTGGAGGTTTGCCCTGCACTGCATGCACTAGCTCTGCCAATGCGTTCCCAGTGACTTCACTGCCATGCCAATTAAATAAATATAATGGTGGCATGTGTGTGTTCTGTTACACTACAGGGAATATCTTTAGGGAGCTCAGCAGTCACGCACTGGCCATCATCTTACCACTCTCCAGCTCGACCTTATGCAGGGCTTCGGTGACAAAGTTCTTGACCTCGCTGATGGTGTAGACCACCGTATAGCGCTCCATGATCTCACGGTATGAATTTTCCACCAGGTTCGACTGCAAGGTCAGGTAGTCCAGTTGTTCAGTGCTCACTCCTGCTCCGTCCACCACAACTGTGACAGCATAGTCCACCACGACACCATCCAGCCTGAAGACATAAATATGTAGTGGTTACATCCAATCCACATACTGAATAGTCTCTTGCAGTGGAAGCATATTGTGATATACACTCCTCGGGCCACTTTAATAGGTACGCCTATACAGTTTCATGCAATGCAATGCAATGCAACAGATCTGCCAGATTCTACATTTTCCTAATGTTTTGCCCACCTCATTTAGAAATAAGAATATTAGAAAACGCATTTCACTACATTGCAGTTGAGTTGAACCCCACTGCAAACGAAACAATTGTAAACGTATAGTTGAATTAATACCTCTTTAATAGTGTAAATATTATCTTTGTGAAGGTAGAATTTATGGCTAAGCTGTTGTATATATATATATATATATTAGCGCACCTAATAATGAGTGTAATTATATTGAAACTATGTCGCCAACATTAACAATTCCAAGCAGATTTTGAGTTTAAATAAAATTTTTAAGTAAAATGTGTTATTAACAAATGGTGTGAACAGCATTAGAACAGTGAAACACTATTTATTACATTGAATATCAATTCAATTATTATTATTTTTTATTATTATTAAAGATTTTTTTTAAATATATCGATATATATATCTCAGGGGAAAAAATATTCACTGTAGGGCCAATATGGTGCAAACATTACATTAAGTACACTGCAGAGTATATGTACATCTCCTCACATCCTTCTACACTAGTTCCTAAACTAGTTCCTAAACTGCACCTAAACACCATGTTCCATTGTTATTCTACACACATTTATGTATAAGAAAGTATAAAATAATGTCTCCTGGACGAAAGAGCAGTTCTCTAAGAGGATGAAAATCGCTTAGGCTTTAGCGTGATTTAACGTCAAACCTGTTAAAAGAGTTGTAGAGAGCTTACAGTTGACTGATGACTCCAGTGATTTACTCCTTCTCGGAATGCAGGAGTGCGACTGTATAGGCCAAAAAACAGCCGAGTCAGCAGAATTATCAATATCATCATAATAAACATGGAAACCTCACAAGAGATTCCAGGCCCTGGAAAAAGCCATCTATCAGCCTTCATTTGACTACTGGAAGCCCTCCACTCTGACCTAGTTTGTTGGATTTCTGGCGGACAGCTGAGCATGTGCCGGCCCACAGGCAACCACATTTAGGAGGAGACCCAATTTTTCCTCCTTTAGTTTCACACATACACAGAGGCAGGCAGACAGAGATCTACTCCTGCTGTGCCCTGTTATCTGCAGTTAGCAGCAGCATGCAACATTCTTCACAGCATCACTGTGAGAAAGTATAAATATATTTCTCAGTGTACAGTGTACTCTCACTGTATGTTTGCACAATGATGAAGGTGGTATGTAGTTGTACTTGAGTATTTCCATTCTCTGCTACTTTTATTCCACTATATTTTGAGATTAGAGACTAGATTGCTGTAGTGAGTTATTTCGCAGATTAATAATTTACATACAAAACGATGATCAGATACTAAATCATGATGAATTATTGAGATTAAACTGCCCAATACTAAATAAAGTTGTCAAATTGGCTCCAACTTGTTGCAATATTAAAATGTTTTAGAGGAGCTGGTGGGAGGTTTTAATTACTCTTGGTTAGAGCCAGGCTAACTGTTTCCCTCTTTTTCCAGTCTTTGTGCTAAGCCAAGCTAAGCTAAGCTAAGCTCAGCAGCTGTTGGCTGGCCTTATATTTACGGTACAGATGTGAGAGTGGTATTTCCCCGAATGTCAAACTATTCCTTTAAGTAAAAATGTATAATGCTAAAGAATTTTAACTGTAATGTAACAAAATTCTTATACTGTGGTATTGCTACTTTTTCCACCACTGGTAGCAAGAAAAACAGTCATATCTATATATTCACTAACTCCTCACCCTACATTTACTTCTGTCTCGTTGCTCTTTTTCGCCTTCACTCCCATGACACACACAGCATCTTTCCCTTTAACCCTCCTCCTGTCCAACCCCTTTACCACAGGTGGTAAAGCCCTGATAATCGTCTCTATAGGATAGCACCTGCTGACTCCATTGGACCCATCACGATCCCACTTAACAGGTGAGTGACCCAACTAAGACCATTAACATAGGCAACTAGAGACACACTTAACACGTGCCACGCTCACAGGTAAACACAGTGGGAGATGAAGGTGAAGCCATATACGCTCACGCAGATCTAGCTAAGGAATGGTTGATTGGGATCTGTGGGCTTAAATACAAGACAGGGTGGGGATAACTAATACAAGGTCAAACTACCACGGCCTGTACTGATGACTCACCCTTGGGTGTCCTTTTGGGGTCTACATGAAACAAGGAGTAAGGTGAAATTGTGTTAAGGCAACAAGTTGAGTTTTGACCATATTGTGAGGACCCAGGATTAAACCACTACAAAGAGACCAACCTGAAATCCAGCACAGACACACTCTTAAATCCAGGAAGCCCCTCCAGAGCAGCCTCTATCTGCAAGGACAAAAATGATCCAGCATCATAAACAGGCCTCAATTAGAGTTTGTTTCTTATTTTGAAGGGGTTACATTGAACTGGCTTGGTAAAATAAATCAGATTTATTGTTCCAAAAGGGCTTATTATGTTCAAAGTAGTTGAAAGGTCTTGAGTCTTTTGTGTTGTGGCCCACATCATTATCCTCAGGAGGTTCACTACTGCACTGTGGTCAACTTCTTTTATTGGTCTACAGAGCCTTGCTTCTAGGCACTAAGAAAAAAACAACACATATACTGTTCTACAGACTTAATTACCCAGTTTATTCTGATTATCCATCAGAGAAAGAGGATACAAAAAGGTCTCTAGAGGTTTTTGTCTCCTGGTTTGTCCTCCAATTCCCCCTTTTCTACACACAGTTACTACCTCTGAGTCCCTGTCCTCCACACAGGCTTATAATCTTCTCAAAGCACGTAAACTGGTGTGTACGCAGTGTGTGTGGGTACATAAGTGAAGTTACGTAGATTTTATGTGTAAAGCAGATGTCCAGCCATAATAATAAAAAAACGGGTGAGCAATTAGGTGAAATGACACCAAATCAAGTATGCGCTTATTATGTTGTTATTTACAAAGTATGTCTTTGTCTGTATGCCCTAACACATTTGTGCGTCAAGCTGACTGCCAGGGAAATGTACCTAAACAAATTTACTGCATTTTCAGAGTACCTGTAAAAACCACTGAGGGCCAGTACCTGCACATACGTGTGCACGTGCAAAAGTTTATCTATTCCCAAGACACATCATAATGCTGTATTTTCAGCACATAGTTATTTCACCAAAACCAAATGTGTACCATAAAATCTGTGTTTTTGAACTCCTGCCTAACAGTTTGGGTTTAACTACTGCTGCTGTTAAAGTGTGCGTTATTAAAACTAACAATGCATCCATCACAGACCATAAACCAGGAGATATAGTGAGTCCAGTCTGCAGCCAAGATACAGTAGCACGAAGGGGAGTCGTAAAAAGAGACAGACAGAAGTTGAAGCTGGAGACAAACCTTTTCAGCAAGCTGTCTGCTGAGTGTTTGGTACTGGAGGCTGGCTGGATCTTTGAGGTTGTCGCTGTAATTCTCTCCGGTCAAGAGGATACTGAGCTCCACCACCTGCTCCAGCACAGCCGGGGTAGGAGGCTCCACGGCTATGTCATTGTCCAGCTGTGCAATAATAAAGAGTAATATAGTTAAGTGTATTATTAAAGCATTATGAATCCCAATATGTGAACGATCTGTGTGTGCACTTACTGGATTCTCCTCTACCTCTGGGACAGAGACAGCTGCTTCCTCTGTGTCTTCTGGGTGGTTGAGGTCATGTGCAAAAAAAAAAAAAAAAAAAACTTACGTTGGTATATTTAAAGTGAATGTGAGCTTAAACCTTTGGCAAGTGCAGTGATTCCTGCTGGTTGTATGGATTAGACTGTCCTGACCCGGAGTACTTTCGAAATCACAGGCTTGCAGCCAAGCTCACTCACCACACACAGAGAAAGATGGACTAACTTATTGCATAAAAAGACATAAAACAAAGACTATTGTAGGGATATGTGCATACATACACACAACATAATTGTCTGAAACTGAAACAACAATGCTTGAGCACAGGTATAGAAATGGCAGGATGCTTGACAGTATAATGTCCTACAGCTAACAGTGTTGTCAAGAGTGACACTAACCCAGCTCAGGAGCCGCCGCAGCCTCCGGTGTGTCTGTTGTCAGAGTGCTGTGAAACAGTAGAAGATTTTGCTGATATCATATTACCCCTACTTAATCAAAAATAAACAGCACACAGGCTTTTCAGGGTAATGCACACTGAAGGTAGAGATGGGTCTACAAATGGGATTTAAAGGATTTAAAGGATTTTTATTTTTAATCAACAAATCCTCTTAACAGTCCAAAATCAATAATTAATTTACTCTGTCAATAAGCCAGATACAGCTAGCTGCCTCCATTGTCATAAAAAACTCATTGTTTTTATAACACTTATGCCTATTCATTTTCTTTACGAGAGTTGGATGAGAAGAAGGATATCAATCTGAAATTTGTATGCTGAATATGAAGCCACAGCCAGCAACAGGTTAGCTTAGCATAGAGACAAGGAACAGGGAAACAACTAGCTTGGCTCTGTCTGAAAGCCAGCACATCTAAAGCTCACTAATTATAATCAATAATTAATTCTAATAATTATTAGCACATAAAAAAACAAAACTGAAGTTGTTTTGCAGAGGTTACTGTGTCGGACTATTTCTTGACTTCCCAGAGTCTTGCTGTCATTGTGACATTGCCAGGCAACAAGTGAGACCACCTTTGGACAGGCTAGGTGTTTCCCCCTACTTTCAGTCTTTATGCTAAGCTAAACTAAGCTAAGCTAACCGGTTGCTGGGTATGGCTGTATTTAGATATGCTATGTGTTAGGTTTGTCTATGCTGAAAATTTGTTTGAGGATGGCTAAAAGATATGTTATATATATTATCTTTTAAACATCTTCAAAAATTGAATTATCTTTTCGACATAAAGAGCCTCAAACATAGCTCATCTAAGTACAGGACAGAAGAAAGTTGACCGAGGTTTGCTCAACTGTAATTGGAGCACAGAGCGAAAGGGGGCGGGGCTTAAGAGGGTTCAATTGCTTTAAAAAGATTCATACTGTTACTGGCTGACATGTTACGATGATTATGGCCGGTATAGTTTTATAACTTTATGAGCATGCGCAGGGACACAGTTCAGTAATACTGAAGGAGAACAGACTACACTGACCAATGTGATGGAAGGAATAAATAAACTCAATGTGTATATATGTGGGTATAGAGCTTCTCTGCATGTTTATAATAGTTTTTGAAGGCATGAGCTATATCAGACTGTGGCTACATAGACAAAATTTAGCAGAATGTATTTTTTATTTTTTTTGTTTAGTTGTTTGGTTTTTTTGATGGAACTTGTTGAAAATAATAAAAAGATAAAATAATACCACTGTTATCTTTTAAACTCAGAGAGAGGGCAAGCACACAGACGGCAGAGCTTGGATATCAGTATCCAAGTCTAAGACACACAGATAAAACAGGAAACAAATGAACATGAGACATCTGAACAGGTAAGGTTGAAGAGACTTGACAACCGTACCTGCACATATGTTGCCAGGACCTGGTGGGCTCACTACAGATAGTAGGAAGAATGACACATTTACAAAACACAGACTTAATGATAAGATCATATATTTATGATTGAAATAGTGAGCTAGTTGTGGAGGGAAGGAGGTGGAAAGTTTCTCTTACCTTTTCACACCAGGCCGTGACATTCTCTAGAGATAGAAAAAACATATGTTGTAAGCTACAGTGTCAGCCACCTGCAATATATTATGTTCACAGATGTTTTTTTATTACACCATTAGATATTCACAAACCTTTTTAACCAGAGCCTGGTGCTCCTCTGATTGGCTAAAGTAGGTGCCAATATCTTGTGTCGTGACTGTGCCCTCCTGGCACTGACTCATCCAGCTTTGGTACTCTTCTTGCTCTGGCAGGCGGTCCCAGAAGATCTTGAAAGCCTCCCATATGGTCTCCTGGCACACTGGTCAGACCAGAGAGAGACAACAGCCACTTAAAAAACAAGCTTGCAGAACTTGCTTATATAGAAGTGTTTTCAAAAGTCTTTCCACTTCAATTCTTATCTCTATTTTTCTCTATATTTATTCTCAAGGTCTGTTCTAGGTAACAAAGACCACACTCTTTGCTCATTAGCAGGGGAAAGAAATCATCTTTAATTCACCAGTTACTTCATTAATTAATCTAAGACCTAGATGTTAATAACTGGAAGTTATGAGACCCCTAATCTATCCCCATTGTCATGTTAACTTCAAGACATAACTCCTTTTCATGAGTCAGCCTGCTGGGCGCTGATCCAAAGTCAGTGCACAGACATATGCTCCGATCTTCTTCCCTAATCAACGCCGACTGTGAGGCCAGAGACACCAAATCACCTCCAAATCTAGCTTACATAACAAACCTCAAGTTTCAAGAGTCACAGACTCTCTTTTGGCATCTACAAGCACGTGTTTGTCCAAGTCTAGCTGCCCAGGAGTTCATTGACAGGAATCACACCTTGATCTTTGCCCACTCAGTGTTTCTCAAGTAATAAGGAGTCAAAGATGTTTTGTCTTTGTTGAATATTTTGTTTCACAGCTCCCGTCCACCTGTTGTGAACTTTGCATCTGCATCATGAGGTGTCAATTCACCAAAATCACACAAAGAAATGTATTTTCTCATTTATTCCTAGAGCTATCAAGTAGAGGTGGCAGAAATATTTAGATTCTTTACTTTAGTAAAAGAAGAAATACTGCAATGTAAAATGCAAAGCAAAATGTACTTAAAGGACCAGTGTGTTGGATTTAGTGGCATCTACCGGTATAGTTGCAGATTACAAGGCCCTTGCCTCACCCTCCAGTTCCAAGTGTGTCGGAGAAACTACAGTGGCTACGAAACTAACGAAAAACACAAAAGGCCCTATCTAGAGCCAGTGTTTGGTTTGTCAACATGGCAGCTGCCGTGAAAGAGGACCCACTCCCTCTGTAGATAAAAACAGCTCATTCTAAGGTAACAAAACTATTACTTTATTCAGGTGATTATACACTGATGAAAACATACCTAATATTATATTCCATTTCTGCCAATAGATTCTTCTAAATGTTACACACTGGACCTTTAATGTGTAAAAAGTATAACTACTTAGTATAAAGAAAAATGACTCCCATGAGTGTTTTATTATTATTTTATATCAGTGGTTAATTATTACTGACATTTTACTGTTGTATTTGGCAATGTTGGAACTAATTTCAACTATTTTACATACAGTTAGATGGTTTCTGCTGCTAATCAAGTACTGTGAAAGTGAAGAAAATTTAGTTTGTGAAACAGTGCCACTTTAACACTAATAGAAACACATCAAAGTCTGTTAACAGGTCTTAGGAGTACTGCTGCATATGTGAAAAACATTGTATAAAAGACTTTTGTGGCTCCAGAGGGAGCTGTATGAAATCTGAACATCACTTCAGAAGACTAGTTTGAAAATGAAAATGAAAAGAAAAGTCTCTAGAAACAAGTGAGCTTACCAGACCTCTTTAGCCCACTCCTCATCTCTATTTGACGTTAGAGGATTAGCCGCTACAAGCAAAAACACCTGAATCTCCAACCAAACTGTCGGGGGTTGCATTGTGGGTAAAGTTGACAATTTTGACAATTCTGTCCGATATCAGACAAGAAATACTTATAATTTAATACTTTTTTTTGTGTGTGTCTGATAATGTGCAATGCTAAATTGTTCTCTAGTACTATTTTATGGGTAGATATCTCAAAGCCTGGCCACATAAAAACAGGATTATCTGAGCAGATACCAATAGGGTAAGTGAGCAAATGCTTTTTGGACTGACTGACAACCTGAAGTAGACCACAGTCTGTTAGAATGCAAATCTCATAAGGCCTAATTGCAACTGGTGTCCACACAGATGTCTGCTTGACCCAAGTGAATCCCTTGGTGTAAATGTGGCAAAGGTTAACATTCTTGCCTACTGGACGAGTCCTTTCTTGCACATCTTGACAATCTCACAAAATCAGTTTCTTGTTGTTATTGCTGAGTGTTGTGTGTCCTCACCCATTATCTGACCCAACAAAGACATTGCCAATATCTACTAATCTACTCTCATTTATGTTCAATCTTACCTCTGAGCTGAAAGTAGCTCAGATGGTTTGCAACAACCTGCTGGGCGGTCTCTTGGGCACAAAGTTTGACTCCACTTGGGAAAAGGATGTTGCGTTTCCGTCGAGAGAGAACTGCTTCGTGAGATACAGGCACAGGCTCCTGACTATAAGGCAGACGCAGGTAACCCATAGAGGAACCTTCCAGTGTTGCATCTAGGATACCGCAAAGAAAAAAAACACATTAAAACTTTAACACATCTTTATCTTTGAGTAGTGAGCAAGAAGTGTGTAAATTAACTACAACACATACCTGTCCTTATGTCCAAAAATACGACCACAAAACTAAATACGACAGAGTAGAAAACGCATCTCCAAGATACGATGCTCATGTTAAATCCGTGATTGTGTTCAACTCCGTCGGCTTGGAAAAGCATCAAGTAGATATGTACTCCTTCTCAAGTCATGGAACAGCAACGTGAACAGCTTCTTACAAGTTTGCATAGTTCAGAAGTCTCCAGACGCAGAAAAATAACAGAAGCCCCTACAGAAATCATTTGACGACACTATGACACACTGGCTTCCTGCAGAAGAGAGGTGTGTCCCATGGTGCTGAGAGGACAGCTCCTGGCTCAGGTAGATAGGCAGATGGCTCCTGGAGAGAAGGGGATTTTTTAATGCTCGCTAATCCTGTTTGCTCTAAGCCTTTTAGAAGAGCTCGCCAAGAAGTTACTGGAGCAACACTGGGAAGGGAGGGCACTTAGTGTGGAGGAAACGTGGCCGGAGAGGAGGTTACAAAGGCCACAGAATCAACAGTGAGCAGGTAGATGCATTAATACATTCAGATATTGTGGTAGTTTACTGGGATTTAGTCGATTTAATGTTTTCTGCAACACTCAGCAGAGCAAATGTTTGCCAGTGAAACAAAATTTGATCCTCAAGTCAAAGGACAGACCCTTTTACTGTTAAAGCACCCTGCCATCCAATCAGGCAAATGGCATTAAACACATCCAGCCTTTGGAGATCACAATGGCTGTTCTGCATCTGCTGCGCTAAATGAAATCCAAAGCCAACAGGATCATAGAACGGAAAGTGCTGATCAGACAGTTGCAGTTTCTAGTCGAAGAACTGCGTCACTTCAGATAACGTTCTATAATCTAGAAAGAAGCTCCTTACAAATAATAAATAATCCCCCCCTCCCCACCCACTCCCACACGAAAAACACAGTGATTATGTGTCAGGTTGTTCCAGCAGCTAAGGAGCAGCAACTGAAATCCTCTCAGTATGTATATATTGACAGCAGTGAGAGTCATGGGCTTAGTCTGGACTCGACCTTTAACCCCAAACTCTTGGTATGGGGTTTATCCTGTTTTTAAAAGGGAAACCATCCTCTTCTTATCTTTAAGTAGCTGCATTACGTATGTGAAAAGAAAAAAGGAGAGTAATGAGGGATAACAAACTTACAGTTAAGTGAGCCAGTGCATTAATTTTACGTCTCACCTACATTATCCTCAATGTGGCGACATTAGCATGCCAACAAGCTCAAAATGACAAATCCCATAGTGATGTTTAGCAGGTATGTTGACCATGTTCACCATTATAACCAAGTGTTTTAGCATCCTATCATCTGGTAATTGGCTCCAAATACAGAGTACAACTGCAGCTGCAAAATATCATTTTTCAGGTTTCTGGTCATAACCCAATCAAAAATTTTAATTTTGACTAGATGGTGGTGCTTGGTCAAAAGCAAAAGAATAAACAAATTCTCAAATATCACCCGCATGGCCGTACTGGAGGAAAGTTAAGGAGATCACCAAAGCAATTACGATTTATCATCTGGGAACCTTCCATGTCTGTATCAAATCCATCCAGAAAAGTAGTTAGACCAAACTGGTGGACCGATAGACATCGCCATAGAGCCAAGCTGTTGGATTAAGAGTAATCAGGGCATATACAGCATTTTTGAACCACAGATAAAAACCTGCAATTTCAGGAACAGTTACAAATTGTTTCGTAAGTCTTTCTGCGTCAGGGTAAGAATTCATAAATAAAACAATTGTTCTAAAATGTCTCTTAAATGCTTCCAAGGCAGAAGTGATCAGTTTGACTGGCCTAATGGCGCTGTTGATGGTGAAGGAATCTGGCCAAAGATCAGGTCATAGCAGTGGCTGAACCAATGTTTTACTCTGTAAGCTCCAATGTGTGCCTGATCCTATACCTTTAGATCGTGGACAGCCAGCAGGGGAGCCAAGTAGGCCTAGAGTACAGTGGGTTTTACTACTCACTTACTGTATGTGTGCATTCCTGTACGAGAGATCTTCCCGATGCCATGAGACACATTCCTCTGCTTCTAATAGTACAATGTTAAACAAAGTACAAACAATACTGTGTGCAGACAGAGGACAGGTTTTGCTGTGCATAAACATTTGTAATTAACTGGCAACTGAGTGTAAATGTTGAGCACGCGGAATGGCTGCAGCACACTGCCATACAAAATGCAAGGGGGGGATTACTTGGAGTCAGACTGTGAGGGGATCTGACAGACTGAGACAGTAAATACACCTAAGCCGACCGTGTAACTCTCCTGATAGTTTACACTGAAAAGCATTGTAACGTACTGTAGAGGCATTTGCAAATGGAACCTTTTGGCCTGAGAAGAACAAAGTTGGCTCTTCTGGTCAAAAGGAGAATTAGAAACAGTAACAAAAAAAATGTTTGCAGAACAGGAGCCAAAGAAAACTTCTAATAAATAAAAAGGAATAAATCAACTCATTTACAACACAGACATTCAGACTCTGTTAGTTACCTACCTCTAATCCTCATCTTGTTATGAAAACCATTTAAGACACGAGGTCAAGACTCAGGATAACATTTAAAATATTGTCCAGTTGGCATTTGTCATATAATACCTCAGGAAAACACACATTTCTTTAATGGAAATATCTCAGCTTGTGTTCCAAATGACAGAAAAAGTAGAAAAACAAAAAACAACAGTATAACATCAATTTGGTCTACAAGTTTTAATACACAATTGAAACCAAAGATATTTTGGGACTGGCTTCTATATATTCATCCAACACAAATGTCTTAAAAAAACATGTCATCGAGGACTTCAAAGTGTTAAAGGAGGCAAACATCTGAACAAAAGGGAAAAAAACTACTAGACCATCAAGTCTGATCTCTGTTGAGAAGAACTTAGGCAGCAGCAGTGATGGACTGCAATGTCTCTTAGGTCTGAATTAAGTGACTTTGTGTTTGACATAATACTGTTACACATGCTAATGTATGTGCACCCCTGAACTTCTTGCAAGTCTGGATAAATAAATGAAAATGTCAAAGATACAAAATAACTTCCATGCCACATCAGTATTTAGAATATATGCAAACTAAAGTCGATAGTCTGAAATCCCAATTTTTCCTAATTCTGCCCATTTGTGTGGGTGAAGTTGACATCGGGGACCATTACTTTGCCCCAGCATGATTTTAGGGTCCATGATGGATTGCAGTATAGAGGGTGTAACAGATAAATGGTAACATACAACAGTTCAATTCTTAAAAAGAGGTGAGTGGACGAGCCTAGCTCAGGCGTAGACAACCTGCGGCTGTGGAGTCACATGGAGCTCTTTAGCCCCTCTCCAGTGGCTCCTATGACAAATAATCATATGGACACGAATAACTTTTATCTTTTAACATTTTCATTCATCATTGTCATACACCTAAAGTAATTCTTACATTCTCAAATCATAAAAATGTTTAGCATTTACACACCAAATAAAAAAGATTGTTTCAACATTTCGGCAACTAAAACGTGCGTTGTATGTTACATCCTGACCTTTTCCTCCGTATTTTGCCGAACCTCAATAGTGGCGGATACTAGTCTCTCTAGCTAGGCTAACTATGGATTCCAAATACAAAAAACAAATCTGAGGAAAATAAAGAATGTAATAGTGCATGGACAGATCTGTTTGCTTTCACCACCAACGCTGCTGGCATAATTAGCATTATAAGGCTCAAATATGTTCTGTGGCTCCAGACAAATTTTTCTTTGTTTTTGGAAAATGGCTCTTAATAGTAAAGGTTGCTGACCCCTGGCCCAGCTTACTGTCATCTATAGACAGCGTCATGTTTCCTATCTGGCACTGGGAGGCTAACAGGATAACTGAGTGAGGCACTGAGTGACTGAAACAACAACATTTTTCTAGTTCCATGTATCCGACAAAGGGCAAAAGATGGAATTGCTGCTTCATGTTGGGATTACAGTTCCTGAGGCGTCAATGGCATGTTATCTTATAATGAAATTCAGAAAGGAAACTGCAATGTATTTCATACAATGCCAGGAAATCAGGGGAATTCAGTTCATTCAGTAAATGGGTATTCATGCAAAGACTGCAGAATCAGAGCAGCTTTCAAACCCCATGACTAAAAAAAGAAAGGCAAACCTGACATGAAATGTCTCACAAAAGCAAGTAAACCCAACTAAAACTGCTCACAATTTGCTGTACAAACTAGGTTTAACCATTGCTACACAATTCTTAGTTTGACTTGTGACTCTACATAAAAAAATCTTTTTTTTAATAAAATATCTTGCAGCATAAAAACAATCAGTAAAAAAGTTATGGGGTGTACAAACATTATCATGTCTACATACAATCTACCTTAAAACTCGTTCTGGTTGGATGAACTACCTGTTTATTTTAAATTAACTGATGCCTTCATGTTCACTCACAGGACCCACAGATAGTCAAAAGTTTACATGTTGTGTTCAAGATAATGCATTAAACAATAACAGCATCTAATTTAAGGGAAATATTTTCAGTTCAAACTGAAGTGTCCGTTGCTCAGTATGAGCAGTGATAATATATTGGCTACAGGAATGTGATGCACTGAACAGCAGAGCTGCTTCTCATGTCTATCTGTTACTATCCAGGTTTTGATGTCGGTAAAGGTTTAGTACCAGATCTCTGATTTCGTCTCGTTTCCTCCGCACCTGCTGCCGTGGAAACCAACGTTCTAGTTGTAGAGGGAGGTCAAAGTGCACCACAGGGTCCTGAGAGCAGAAGCAGAAGAAACTTTCCGTTACTGTGTACATGCCTCAAAAACCTTTTAAATGTCTCACTGAGTTTTAATTTAAACGTGACAATTTAAAGCTGTTGCTGATTGAATGTTAAATGGCCAGACTATGTGAGATGCTGCCAAGTTCTTTACCTTTAAAAAACTCTCGACATACTGCAGCAGGTAGAGGCCGCAGTCACTGCTGTTGTCCTGAAGGGGAACTTGGCAGTGTGAGCTCTGCATCTGATCAGGACTAAAGTCCCTTGACGAACCACGACGGACTTCCCATTCTGACTCTAAGTAGCTGCGGGACAAACACGCATTATCTTATAAACATTTCTAAACACAGGTATGCAGCTACAGACATACGGATTAAAAGTACCACACTTACTCCCGTAAGAGTTTGAAGACTCGCTCATGAAGGGAACGTTTGAGGGAATCCATGACGAGAATACACGGCCTACGGAGAGGAGAGGCATGTCTGTTATATAATATTCAAATCCATATTAGTATTACCTACATTGTTTCACGTGTACAGGGTAGTGTGCATGCAACAAAGCAGACCACCTGTGTAATGGCACACTCACCTCTTGCAAACTGTTTTCTTCTGGTAGGTCTGCTCAGTGCAGGTCTACAAACAAAAAGGAAAATAATCAGAACAAGCAGATTTGGAAGAAAACTCTCAAGAATTCTGTCTGCCTGATGAAAGAAATAATAATATTATTTCAAGTGAAAAAAGTATAGAATTTGTTCTTACCACTGGACCAGGTTTTGGGTCTTTAGTGGGTTCTTCTTGACCATTTCCTAAAACACATAAAACAAACCATTACCGTTCAGCTTTGCAACCACAACATAAATAAGTCAATTGCTTACCAAAGAAGACATCTATCATTTAGCCAAACATACCAGTCTCTGTGTCCACATTGTCACTGTGATTTACTGTAGGTGGTGTCTCATTGTTATCATTTTGGCTTTTAGCCACCACTTGATCCTGTAACTCCCCAGTCTGTGAGTTCGGACCATTCCAGTCCTCAGATTTTGGCTCATCCAGTCCAGGAAAGCAAATAACAACTAAATACCAATGAGCCCTAAACAGACAACAGAGAAATGTGATATATAATGTGATATACCCAATAATATGATGCAAATATACTTCTTCATGTGTTTAACTCACTCCTGATTGACAGGCACAAACAGGAAGTCCTTTTTGAAGATTTCTACATGTCGTGTCCATGTCTTCACACGTTGGTGCCGCCTCTGCCTCTGACAGCTGAGGAGACAAAAATAAAAACAGAGACACAACTTTTAAGAGTGTTTCACATGAACACACTTGAGAGTATTGCAGCAGTAAGCACTGTAAGGCCCTGAGGGGAAATGTGCAGTCATCGCACTGCTTAAGTTAGTTTGTAACACTTCCATTTTGATGCTTGTCTGATAATGTATAAAACATGAGAAGAAGAGAGCTTTTATCAAGGGAGTAGGGCTGTGGCTACTTCCTGTAAGTAGTACATATTAGTGCACACACAGAACATACCAAAATCTGAAATGTCTCAATATAAAATATTTGTTTTTTGGTTAATATTTTGCCGGCACTACTTACGAGTCACTGGTGCCACCTTCACTGGCATTGTCCCTCCGTGTCAGCTGCTTGTAGAAGAAGCTGCTAAAGATGTGTGAGCGCTCGGCCACAGCAGCAGAGGCCTTATGGAGGAGGTATCTGGTTCAAATAACACATCAATGCAATCAATTCAAAGGCTCTCTGCAAACTGTGAGGAGCCAAAGTAAATTTGAAGCTTTTTGTTTGAAAATGTCTTACTTACTTGAGGTAAAAGTCAATGATAACATCATTGAGGAACTGCCCACTGTCAAGGCACTGCAGGTCCTCCATTGTAACAGTTATTCCTCCTTTCAATGGTGGAGGAGGAAACTGGATCAACCTAAGCAAAGGCAGAAAATAAGATTTTACTATGATTATCTGCAGATGTAGTTAGACAGTTAAGTTGTAACAGTTAATATAAGCAGATATGCAATTGGTCCCCACAAAGCCTAAAATTCAGATTTTTACTTTTTAAGACCCCGCAGACACAGATGGGGATACAAGTTTGCCAACAACAACTGGCATTAGAATGATATTCTGTATCTGCAAATACACTGAGGTACGGAGTCAAAATCGAGAGAGAAAACCTTGGACCGGTGCATCCCCAAATTCTATTATATTTTCATACCTAAGACTGAACAACATTGTCTACGAGAATCTTGCATGAGAAGCTGCACATGGGATGATGTAGGTTACTTGCCTGTGGGCTAGGCCCTGATGTTTATATTTAATCCAGCTGGAGTCTGGTTTACACAGTGACACAGAGTAGGATCCTTTGGTTCTACGATGGCACACTGTGTGTACAGGAGCGGGTTCCTCCTTTTTCTTCTGTGGGAGGAAATTTATACCATAGCAGCAAATTTTACATTGTAATCATTTACCTTTGTAAAGGTCAACAGAAGAGTGAAATATCCCATAGAAGATGGGGACCACTCCCAACCAGGGAGTCAGGACCCCCGCAAGGAGATGAAAAATAAATCTGAGGGGGTCACAAGATGATTGAACAGGTAATGCTTATTTTTCCAGACTTTACTCTAATTTTTTCTTTTAATTTTGTGAATTAGTACAATTTTACATTTTTAGAACTAAAGGCCTTTACTCACTAAGAGGTGCTGTATTTATTTATTTTTTTTTTTTGAACGGTTGTTTGTCATTAGTACTTTCACACAGAATGCCGATATTACATAGATAGATAGATACTTTATTTATCTCGAGGGAAATTCAAGAATAGCAGAAAAGCAGTGTAATTCTTTTGGAACGAGGCTGATTTATCTGAGCATATGCACTGTGAAAAAGGCATCAACTGATCACAATGTGCAGAACACTCATCACATCACAACTCATGGCGGACCTGTTGTTTGTTTATGTTTGTCGTAAACCAGACTGGAGCCCCGGGACAGGCAGCTGAGATGAACCCAGTGAGTATGAATTCTCTATGTGCAATCGGTTCAGTGCTGCAGTGTGACCCCTCCCGGTTACGCTAATTTGCTAAATCACTACCGGTATGAATAGTTTAGATGAAACATATTCACAGGCAAGAATTTCACATTTTCGTGTTGTTTATTTGTCACGTCCCCGGTGTGTAAAGGCCCTAAATGATTCAAATATAGCAAAGAAAATCATTCTGTTTTAACTAGTCAAAACCAGTAAACATATACAACCCCTGATGAGGTAGATGCTGCTATTTTAAGAGGTCACAAGCCAAAACAACTTACCTCAGAGGGATGCTCAAGCTCCTCTGGTTTGAGTGGTGTCCCTGTGTCTCGTTCTGTCGCTGTCTCCGGCTCCAGTATTGTCTCTTTCTGTGTGGTGTTTTTGTCTGTATCAGAATGTGGACCATCCTGGTCTGTGTTAAGTCTAGGTTCAGTGCTCTCCAGGCCAAACAGGAACAGCAGGTGAGAGTCCCGTCCACTTTTTCTAATCAGCTCAATGCACTGTCCCACAGAAAGAATAGGAGTGTGGATGAGGTCCAAACCACTAACTCTGTCTGCATCATGAGAAACAATGGATTTTTCATTTTCAAGACTTTGGATACAGTCAAGATCCAACAAGGAGCGCAATAAAGCCCCCTCCATTCCCTCCAGAGGTTCTTTCAGGGTCAGCAGGATGAACGGGCTCACCTTGCCTTTTAAAATATAATAAAAAAAACAAATATTATCTAGTACGCACATTTACATTAAGAATAGTGTGACATATCAAACACTGGTAACGATGATATCAGAGGTAAAAAAAACAAAAACCTGTGCCATTTGCAAATTTAAACTAAAAAACAGGAAACACTGCCAACAGTCTGTATCACTTAGACTAGATTATGATATAAATTTAGTTTTCCCTGTTAGCTTTGTCCTTCATATGCTACGTGTCTCCAAAAAACAGAAATGTGAGGTTGAGCTACTGGCTCCAAGCGTACTCTGAACTTCTATCTACAGTGTTAGCGTTCTCACCAGTGTTCGTGGGACCATCTTGTTTGACCCCCAGCTTCAGGAGGTCCTGCTGTACAGCAGCTGCAGCCTTTTCTGACACACAAAACAGAAGGATAGCGCGAGGGGAAGGCTCCTGGTCAGTCTTAAAGTGAAGCTTCTGGGCCTCCAGGTCCTGCAGCTCCCAAACTCCGTACCTCCGCAGCTCTTTACGCTCAATGGATAAGATTACTCTCACCTGTTCACTCGTGTCTGGGGACATGAAGAGGCCAGGTCAGCTTAGCAGCTCGCAGTGTTGATATCAAACAATGAATACTGCTGCGGCTCAACACCCTGGATAATGAATGAGCTTATAGCTGTGCAAAGGGCTGTCATCTGTTGATTCACAATACTTACTTTTTGTTTTAGTGTAATAGAGCATATATATGAAAACAAGACTAGGATTATACAGTTTTGCTAGAATCCGTATGGCCATGCTGCTAACATATGGAGCTAAAATAGTTAAAACTATCCATACTGCTGTGCAACAAAAGTTGGATTGCAGAACTTGAACTGGCTACATCCTGTATAGCTTTTTGAAGGCTAGGCTCAAGGCTGAACTAATTCTTGCATTCAAGGTTATTTAGTCATAATTTGTTTTTCAGAAACAAAATTGTACTTGCTAGAAAATGTATCTATCACAAGACAGTTGTTTGGTGTGTCCCAAATTTTATTGAAGAAACATATTTGTCACACACACACACAGCCAAGATCAAATTTCAAGAAATAACCACCTTAGTTCCCTGAAGGGGAGATTTCACAGGCTCAGAGGTGAAAGTGCACTAGAGCCTTGAGGGTTTAATCCAGGAAACAAACAAACACACACACACACACACACACACACACACACACACACACACACACACACACACACACACACACACACACACACACACACACAATCTAAAATAGACCACAAAGCTGTGACTGGATGGTGTGCAGACAGCATGACCAAAACAAGATGAGATGGGTCTCACTTTATACAGCCAAGACCAAAGGTCATAGGCAGGCCACAGCTTCTCTACCAAGACTGTGGTATACAGTTAAAAAGTAAAAGAAAATATTCACAGCATTACCTTTCAGTGGGATGATGATTTTTTTGGCTGCCATCTATGAAAGGAGAATAAGAATGTGTTACACTTGTTGAATGTGATGCCAGCAGCAAAATGCATGTATTTATGGATTATAGGTTACCATTAAGTCTCCATTCGATTTCCCTTGGAAACCTCCACAGTGCAAAGCGGAGAAGGCCACGCTCACACAGTAGTCTACACTAGGGATGAGAGGAGGATCTTCTACAACTACATGCAACACCTGCAACACATTAACATATGCAGTTTGAAGAAAAGGGTGCAAACAGGGTGATAGGTCAACATAGTAAGGCAGGTACACACAACAGTATCACACTATAACAGTACAATAACCTCCATGCTACAATGAGACCTAGCTGTTAGGTCAAGCAATTTGGTTGAAAGCAATATTACAACAGAAATCATGTTGATTTCAATATTTTAAACCCACTATGTGCAAGATTGGCAAAATGTTCTGCTCTGGGGCCATCTAGTGGAAGTATTAAGAATGACAACAGTTGACAGCAATGCACACTGCTGCTTTTTCGGTAAAAAGTATGTTGTTATCAAAACATCTCTCTCAAGAATATCTTCTGGGGGTAAAATGATCAGAACAGTTCTGTTTGTTACAGCAGGTACTATTTTGTAAATGGATCCCATTGTAAAATAAAGCTTGTGTGAAGCTCCTGTTAGCTCAAGCTTTCTCTGCCTCTGCAACATGTTTTTTTCCCAAATACAGCTACGTTTTAAAACTGTTAACCGTGGGTCTAAAATGTGGGGTTCTGGGGGACACAATGCTGCAAATATGCTGGCTCTATAACCAAGAAATGTAACTACTTTTAGAGTTTGTGTGAACTAGTCAAGTATAATCATAATTTTCCATTTACTATATCCTAAAATTCAGTTCTGCTCAGATATAAGACTAAGTTGTCAAACAGGAACATTCTTGATCTTTTTCTGAAGTATGTGTCTGTTGTATTGAAGAGGTATGGATATAAATATAAATATAAATATAGTACAAGTACACATTATACCAACCTGCATGTCCTCTATGTGAGAAGCTTCTTGCTGTTTGGCCACAGCTTTTGGGGATTGTGCCTGTATTACTGCTTCTTCTACAGTGACCAGTGTATGGAGCGCTGGGCTGCAGTGCTGAGGAACGTCACAGCTCTCCTCATCGTCACTGGACAGCACAACTGAAATATAAGCATGAAGAACAGATCAGGCCCAGTGTGAATTTTACTTAGGAATTATTATGCTATCTTACTGTTCTCAAAGACACGCACACACAAACATGCCCTTAATTGGCACTGCATGAAGGAGGTGTAATGGGCTTTGAGGTAGAGCAAGGACAGCAGTAATCCTGGAAAAGACACGTGAGTAGGACAAAAAGAGGAAACCCAGTAGCTACTAAGATGCAGGGCACGCACACACACACGCAGCCAAAAAAACAAAAAGGTCCAAGACAAAATAACAAAACACCTCACAAATGATTGCGGTCAATGTCATGAAAATAATGCTTGAGCCACATGGCAGAGGAAAATACACCCAGTTGCCAGTTTATTTGGTACACCTTGTTAAACTATACAACCAGCAAAATGGTATAAAGCTGGCAATAACTGTTTCTTGAGTTTCCTCATAAATAAATGCAGACAAATGTTTCAGCAGTAGAATGAAGCTATCAGATTTAGAAGCTTTTCTGGCTTCACTCTGCCTGTGTTGGTGTACTCACTGGGTTCAGCGGGGCTTCTTTTGGTTGTGCTGTCCTGGCTAGACAATTGACTTTGTCTGGGGGTAACAATAAAGTCTCTGGCCTCCAAAGTAGGACTGATGTTAGGGACTAGAACTTCTGTTGGATCATCTGCTCCAACAGTGAACTGTACAATGCTACGATCGAGGCTCTCCAAATCTCCGTCTTCTCCACTTTCTTCCAGACAAAAACCCGTCAGGGCTGGTCTTCCATCTCTTCCGTCTTCTCCAGTGAGGCGAAGTACACTCTCACGGTGGCGTTTGGGGCTGCCTGTTCCATTACACTGGGCCCCTGCATCCTTTCTTTTCCTCTTCTGTTAAGACAGCACATAACACATCACCTGTGTGAGCTAACCAGACAACTCACGCTGCTACAGCAGCGATTTGGGCCATGTCCCATGTTCAACTGCAGGGCGGTCTTTATAGATCTGACATTATCATTTTTCACATGGAATACAGAACATTACTGGTTTTATCTATTTGTGAGTAATGGCTATTGTGCTGTAAAACTGTTGGGGTGCTTTATTTAAACATGACGGATCGTAATGAGAAGAACCACAATGCTCACACAATATTTGCTACTTGGAAAATACTGATGTCAAGACACAACGCATGTGTTAGAATATCATGTACATGTTGCTACCATACATAACGAGATGTACGTCTGGGCATTTCTTTCATGCTTTTTGTAGCAATGGGATGTTTGGGTAAACTTTACTCTTTGGTGAGACTATGTTTTGAAGCTTTGTCTGTCACCCATACGGTACTCACCAAATTGTTTTGTACTTCTTTTTCTGAACCAGTCCACCTGTCCTTTATGGCAGCAGGGGAGAACTCATTAGAACTTCTTCTATCCTCAGCAGGCTCCCAGCTCACTGACAAGCCACAATCTGAATGAGACAGAGAAACACTGATCAACCTGTGTTGTTAAAAGAAACCCTACTACTACTACTACTACTACTACTACTACTACTACTACTACTACTACTACTACTACAACAATAACAATGGGCTAAATTGTGAAGCGGTATTGGCTATGTCAAGCTTTATTGAGCCGATGTTTTGTAATATTAGTAATAAAGTAAAGCTTTGAATGAAACCAAGATCAAAATGAACCAGTGAAATACAACGGAGGTGTCTGAATGTCTTCATGTTTACACACCAACAACTTCAGCAAATTTGTAGTCCTCTGCGTGGTCCTTGCCTATTATCACCTCCTCAATATCTCTTTCTTCTTTGTCCACTTCGTCATCAACATTTAACCTTCTCCTCAGTCGTGATCTGAAGACATGAAAGAATTAATACCATGTTCTAATTAGGCAGTTTACTTTGTTACATTTTTTCAGCAAAGCCCCATGAAGTAGTGTAGCTGCACATAATCACAAATTATCCAAGACTAAACACATAAAAAACAAATGCAGAAACACATATTTAAACTAGAATTTCAAGTTGTGAGATCTCTCTGTGTGGTATTCTTCCATATTAAATCACCATGTTTTTTGCCTGGAAAATACGGAGAGCCAAGGATGCAGCAGGCCGAGCCAAACACCATTAAAAGGCAATTTCTCCTTCGTTTGAAATTGAAAATAAATAGAAGAAATTGCCCTATTAAAGAATACCTCCTACTGCTTTTGTGGCTATTTTTGTTCATTATTCATAGGTCTATGTGGAAAACCACCACACTTTTGAAGTGTAGTCTATTTTTTGTGCAAATACAATACAGCATCAGATGTAAGACAAAGAGATGAGCCCACACAGAAAATGTACTGTTCAGAAGAAAATGACCCAACAGGCTTCTCATGCAAGTGGGTCCCATTCTCTGGCTCATTATTCATAGTCAGGCGCTTAATTGCGTGAGTCTCCCATTCTCTTCTGCAACTGTCTATCTTATTATTATTATAGAGATGCTGCAAGCTCCCAGGAATAAAACTGTGCTGTGCAGAAGCCACAGGTAGAATTGGCAGCCTACTGACACCCTGGGACCCAGGAAGACTTTATGCCATACATCTCTATTACAAAAAAGAGGGCCGTAAACTTTTCTGAATAATGATAATTTAAAACAAACAGCACAGTAGAAGCATTATCAAAATATGACTTTTGGTAGTCAGCCTTACTCAGCCACAGGGAGACAATAACAGGTGTCATTAACAGGAGTAGGAAGTGGGAGAAATGGTCCCGATAATTCGCTAGGTGAGCAGCAATCACTGGAGTACATAGGCTGAGGGTGGAAAATACACAAATGGAGTTGTGTGTTGGAGTATTACTTCCACTGACAACAAAAAAACAGGAAGTCACTGCTCCCGGTCAAGAAATAGTCCAGCACATTACCAATTGTAAAATAGCAACTTTTTAGCAACCTCATTTCAAGTCCTTATGGAAGCTACTGACTGCCTGCTGTAGCTTTAAAAAGGGACCTCCTACCTTTGAGAGGGTGATGAGGTGGTCTTCTGGTTGTGTTTAGGGGTTACATTGTTGATTTTATCATTCCTAGTCTCCCTCTGACTGGACCTTTTGTCTCGGCAAATCAGGGGTTCTTCTCTGCCCCGACCAGTCTTCCTCCGCGTACTTGACACTTGTTGATTTCCCAAGGTACAATTCTGTTTTATCCTTTCCATATAAGCCTTTCCCTTTTCTGTCTTTAGGATATCTGTCAGGATCAGACGGGGCTTTCTCCTACAGGCGGAAACAGAGAAGCAATTATTCACAACCTTCCCAGAGCAGCCTCTTCTCTTCAACATTGTGCCCCCTCAACACATTCTAACTTATTGCTCATCTACCATTGCAAGTCAGCCTTTATTTATGCCAGCTGATCACAAGGGAGGGGTAGGCAAGACGACTGGTGTAGATAAGCCATGTGTGTAGTCATGATAAGCTTGGCCTCGAGTCATGGTGCTTATAGGCAATGTTTCTTTTTGGCAGTGCAACATGGAGCACAGTAGAAAATTAATACTGTACACACAAATAACACATGCCGGACAGTCTTGAAAATAAGGCAAGGGTGGTTTTATGTTTGTGGTTTGAAATAAAGAATGTCTTGAGGAACCACAAGTCAGATTAAGACAAAAATCGGGAGGACAATGAACTTTGACAAACAAATAATTTCAGTAGTGTAGTAGTGGTACACTAGAAGTGCCATATTACCTCATTAAATGGCCATAACTGCTTAATCACATTTTTTTCCAGAAATGTTTAATATTGCTAAAGGCACTGAAAAAAGTGAAACACTGCAGTAAATCACCTCTATGAGACTTTTACTAGCTGGGGGAGTGCCCCATCTTGTGAAAGTTTAAGAAACTGCAATGAACTACACAGTCGAGGCAGGGCAAGTTTATTTATATAGCACCTTTCAACAACAAGGCAGGTGCTTTAGATAAAGACAGAAAGGCATTAAGAAAAGACAAAAGAAACACAGGCAGTATGAAAAGACACATAAGCTAAAATACAATGAAAAAAATCCAACAGTAGAATGATAATAACAGTACAATATACTGTATGAATAATAATAACCATAATAATAAATGCAATATGTGGTGTATAAAAACTGAATGTTGCTTCTCTGTGTTTAGTTTTGACAGTAAGCTGACCAGTCCCTGCACCCTAACCTTGCTGGCCTTATCATTCTAATCAGGAGAGCGTCTGAGAGTGATTCATGAGCTGGTTGTCAATATGCTGACAATGAGGCAGTGATGTTTTGTCTGCGTGGCACAGAGCCTACACCATCTTAGGCCTGGGCTGATGGGTGTAGCAGACTGAACCAAAAATGGTCCAACGGTACTTTAACTTTATTCAGATCTGCTTGGGTGGAGGCAATCTGCCCTGAAAAGATTTAAGTTATCAATTGATCCCTTGCGAACCACAGGTTTTGCTGAGCTATGTGTTGAGTCCTACGAGTCTGCTGATCCTGTGGATTGTTGGCAGTGATCCACTGATAAAAAAAAATTAAAAAAAACACTTCTGATTGCTCTCTGCAAACATCATGGGCATAGAACAATCTGATTAAGTTTCGGCTGTTTGGTTATCCGTTGATGAAATTTATTTCTATGCGACAAGACATAGGATCTGGGAAGCAGTGTTTTAAATTGTCTTACTGCTCATGTTTCTGTTAGCGCCGTCTTCCGCAAAGAGTTACAGGTTAAATCTTCTCTTTAGGTATTTTCTTTTCCATTTGCTACACACGAGACTGCTCTTTCTCTCTCTCTCTCGTGTCCAAACTTATCAGCAGTCATCTCCACTTCTGTCTCATGAAGATTTTTTAATGGTCCAAACCTGTTTTACAGTTATAATGTCTGGGCAATTGTGATCTGTGTTTATGCCATCCTTTGGCTCCCCGCCAGATACCCAGGGTCGAAGTTAGCTGATGTGAATCCATAAATGTTGTCCTCTGTGGGAGTACAGTCTTGCACTTGTCTTTAGGTTTAGGTCCCAACAGGTAAAGAGCTAAGTAAACAGCACATGACTCCACTGGTCTCATGTCAGTGAATCTTGAGAAAGTTAGGGTATCATTGAGAGACAGTGTCAATTTAAATCTTGTTGGGTTTAACCCCAATGAGCTAACTCACTGGCAGATACTCGGTGTCTCAGTTCAAAAGACTTCTCCAGTGCAAATATCCTTGTCTCAAGTATAGCAATACTCTGAACAATTTAAGACAGTATGTACATTGCATCCATTCTGATGAGCAGAGAGGCATAGTGCAGTCCAGGGTACAATTCTGTCAGTAGTCCACTAAGTTACTGTTGCATCAACGTCAGCAGATAGCAGAGGGCAGTTTATAGTAGATAATCGCAACCCAGACTTGTTACACATTATCCTTAGAATGATGTACTTGTTTTGGACACCTTCTTAAATGTGCTGTAGCAAAGAAGGAAGCCATCTTGGAAAAATGACAATAATACATTTTGTCTATTTGTTTGCCCAGTTTTAGTTTAGATGACTAAAACTAGTGCCATACCTGTCAGTTTTAACTGGTCGGCAGAACAATGACCAGGTATTTCCGCCTGTAATCAATAGCCTAAAAAAAGTCTGTCAAAACTCTCCTGTCAGCACCTGCTTACCTGGCCATTTCCAATGTGACCATGGCTGCATGGTTGTGATCACACAGCACAGATCCATTTTTGTGCTGTGAATCACGATGTCTCCGTTTGCAAGCAATTTCCGTCCAGGAAACCTGCTGACGAGAAGGAAACAGGTAGAGTAAAATAATCCAGAATAGCACCATAAGATTTGTTCATATGGTCACAGAGAGAGCAAAGATATGGTTGTACCTGTCTTTCAAACTTCCCACACTGTGATGAAAAACATGTCATGGGGATTCTGAATGGGCTTTCCATCTAAAATTCACATGCTGGTTAGTTACCATGCCTGCATAAAATGAATGAAATAAAACAGCCATAGATGTGCACATACAGCAATGAGGAAAGCTTGTCATTTTGATCTGTAATGCATTAATTTTTTTTTTCTATGTGGTTGCAGCAGTTTAGCCAAACAGGTATTAAAGCAGCGTACATAAGCTGGCACCACATTTCAAATGTGCTCATGGGTAGTAGCTAGAGCTTAAAAACAAGTTGATTGATTAGATTGATCAACAGGTAACAAATTGGCAAGTGCTTTGATTGATTTCTCTTTTTTTTTAAAGTCATTTTTCAGATAAAAATACCAACCTACTTCAATTTGGTGTCTTGTGTGACGGTAAATGTATTCTCTCTCTCTCCCTCTCTGTCATATAATATTTTATATACTGTTACATGATTAATTGAATATTTGCACAAAGGTTCTAAATAAAAGGAGAAAAACAATGTCAGTAAGTACTATTTATTTGTTGAGTATATAATTCAAAATGTAATGACATTCCCACGTGGCCATTGCATCTAAACTATAAATTGAATTTACAGAAAATGTGCTATATCATGATGTATGTCATTGTTAGGATGTGAGATTTTGGTCACATTGCACAGCCCTAGTTGCAGCCCTAGCAGCACCTTATTGCAGCTCCTCCTGCTTGTTGAAAGCTGTCTAGTGCCCTGCCCTCACTGTGATCCAGTGAGGAGTGCTTACTGATCGACAGAATTTAACAGTATGATGACTGGTGATCAAAGAGTAGAACTATTACACAATCCCAAAGCATGTTTGGCAGAATTTATGATGGCAGCCATAAAGCAAGCATCACTAAATATCTTGCCAGGATGAAAAGCAATTAAACCTGCACATTAAAAGCCTACAAGCAGGGTGCAAAATTAATCCATCGGCTAAATGGCTACTAAATGATCAATTTTTACCAGCAGCATTTTTTTTACCAGCATTTGGCTGGTGATGATTTGTGCACTGCTCGCAAGGTAACATGCATGTTGTTAAAACTGCATATTTCATGGGTGATACATACCAAGTTGTCCTTGTCAACAGTAAATGGAATAGTTAAGGCTCTTCTTCGCTCCATCATGGTTCACGATTTGGTAAGGCACAGCAAGAACACTGCAAGAAACACACAGGAAGCAAATTATGAGCAGTGTGTCTCTACCAAAACAAGTAAAAACCCGGAGTGACAAAGTGGTCAAGAACACGCAGAACCTTAAAACAAAACGTTCTCAAAGCAATAAGCAAAATGTAACTTTTCATAGATGAGATATGTAGTTATTATTGGGCTCTGTAGGAAGACACAGACTGTTGGGGGGAAAAAGCTATTAAAAAGCTACTAACTTACTATAGGTAAGTACTACTGACACCAACAGCGTACCGCTACACCCTTGAGGAGATGGAAATCCGAGGGTAAAACGAAACAAAACGTGATTTTCTTTAAGCTGTCTAGTAAATAAGTAAAAGCAAGAAGACTACAGATTAGCCTCTGAAAGGTTTAAACTGGTGTTTATGTTGCACTGGCAGCACGTGTAATGCTAATATTACCTTTTAAAAACAGACCACTCGCATTAAAGACATTCACTACACATCCCCACAACAGCCATGCATATTATTTTAAAGCACATTTATCAAAACACACAGAAACACAAAGTGGAAGACGTTATCGCCTGGCGATAGCCGACGGAGCTAACCATGCTAATGCTACTTTGTCCAGAAGCTAGCTAAACGTAAGACAGTGAACGCCACAGCTTACCCTCGGCCGGAGCTTCACTAGATATCAACAGAGCATATAAGGACAACAGAGACATCTAGCTTCCCCTGAACGCTTCCAGCAGCAACTTGCAAAACGTGGTAGGTTCACATTTTTGCTGGGTTTGAGTTTGTACTTAACAAGCGCTTCAATGCTGCTTAGCAACATCCGGTTACTACGGAAGTGCATCGGGAAAACAGTAGGGAGCACGGAGAGGTTGCAGCGTGGGTTCCCGTAGAGAGTGGATACAATGGACCGGGAGCCCGCCTTCCTCATCTGCTGTCAGTGTGCATTGTTGTTATTACAGTGCCTTGGAAAAAAGTGGAATAGACCTTTTTGCCACTTTGACAGGAAATATAATCGGATTTAGGTTTATTGCCAAGTAGGTTTTTCCACATGTAAGGAATTTGCGTATTTAGGTGCATAACAATAAACACAGCACGAGAAGAATATAAATAAAGATGTACTACAGTCAAGAGGCATAAAATTAACAATAAAGACAATAAAAAGAGACAATACGTACAAAAAGAAATTATGGCCATTATACTATATATATATATATATATATATATATTTTTTTTTTTTTTTATATTTTGGGTAGACACAGGTGTTACCAATGATACTAATTAAGTTTCCATTCAGGGAAAACAGTCAGAGTGCATGTTGGCTCACTGGGAAGGCTCTGATACACTAAGTGGAACAGAACCCCTATCATTGCAAACACCTGTGTCTACCTTACTATTTAATGTTAATAGGGTTGGTGTGAAAAAGGACTTTTCTCCAGTTCACACAAATATTTGATTGATTGTCTTGAAATCCATGGTCAGTCCCCAGACTTTCATGGAGTTTATATTGACTTTAGACATGCCCTGACTTTTCCTCTGGCACCACCAACTTGTTGACATTTTTGTTTCAGTGACATGTCTCGACAAAGAGATTGACATTTCCTACCAACAATCATTCCCCACGGGGTGAATTGTAATCACTTCGGTGATGGCCTGTTTTTCTCACATCAGGTCTAAATTTCAATTAGTATTTGATTTATCATTAAAAAAGAAAGTAAGCATGCAAAAGTAATGATATTCCTGTCAGCCTCAGGGGTATTTTGTGTCAAGGCTGGATTACCAACCAGCCAAAGCAGGCATTTGTCCCGGGCCCAGCGTTTACTGTGTCAGCTGCTTTTTTGGGTAATTTAATTACATGCAAATTTGTTTGGGAATTTCTGTGGTGTGTGTAATGTGCTCGATGGGAACTTGACAATGAACATGTCAATATAACCCACTAAACATCAGCTTGAAACCAAGCTGACATTACCATTCAGGTCGAAGCACTTCTGTAAGGCTGTAGACTAGTATGAGAACCAGACAACAGGCTTGTTCTAACAAAATTCAAATGTTTTAACTATCTTAAGGGAAGAGAATACGAGATTTAGAGTGTATTAAGATATGTATTTTTGTAAGTGTGTATAAGCTTTTGCTTTAAAATCAGTCAACATACCAAATATATAAATATTAACTGATTAAATGTACAATTAGAGATTTTTATGAGTTATGAAGGGTAGCATTAACCATTTTTACCATTTTGTAACACATGCCCGATGCGTTTCCCACCTTCGACTTTCCATTGTGACCGTTCATTGTAGTAGTTTTAAGTATGAGCTTTCTTAGTTATTACAGTCAACATAATAACACATCACCCATGTAGCAACGTTTTTTTTTAATTTATTTATTGATACAGCAGCAAAAACATCAGGCCTGCTCAGCCCCTGGAGAGAGGTTGGTGAGTCGGCCTTCAAACACTGCAGTACAGAAACTATCGGCTCTTCTCACAGATAAAATGTTGACTAACCAAATACATTTAATGACACAAATGTCTCCATTACATTCAAGAGAAAAGGAGGAAAAGAGTCATTGTAATGTTATCAGTTTCAGCTTTTTTTTCTCCTATGGTAAGTCAAAATATCTGCTGTGAAAAAGGCCTAAATGCGTATCATTAGGAGCTGGATATTGGCCACTGAATAGAGCATGGACATTGGAAAGCTGTGGAATACTGTTCTTGGTATTATTGTCCATGTGTGTACAGTTTGTAAAGATTATACTTTGATCAAAATTAATGTTGGCATTGTATATACACACAGAACCAGGCAGTATTATTGTCCTGTAATGTAAAAATACAAAGATTTTTTGACAAATTATATTTTTTCATTCAGGTGACCACAGTCCCAGTATCAACCAAGATCTTTAACGTCAGGGGCCACATTTCTGCACAGCTGTCTCTGAGGAAGTCCCAGAGGCTGCTGCTCCGCTGACACCTTCATCATGTCCGGAGCTCAGTGCGGCCAGTGGAGCGTTTCCTCTCGACTCATGTCCTGCTCTCCTTTCAGCTAAGTAGAAAAGAGACATGCGAGTCACTGACATGTACAATATAATGTTCCTCTGTATGCCTACAGTACATGCACTTAGCTCTAATACCCCTAATCTCATGGACATCCTGCATGACATAATGGTTACGACAAAATGAGAACAATGATGTCCGAGCAGGTTACTGTACAAAAAGTGTTGATCAGGTTAGATAGATTTAGATCATTTGATAGAAACAAAGTCTCATAACATGGGGCACAGTTTAAGAAAGATCTGATGTTCTCTGAAGAATAAACAGTAAGCTGACCATCCTACACAAGCAAAATAGCTGCAGGCATCATAAGGAAACAGGTATGTCTACATACAGTGCTTTCATTATCTTACCAATAGCACTACATGGTGTTATTATGGGCTTTTCCACTTGCTCTCCCTCAGCAATGGAAGCCCGGATCTTCCTAACCACGTAGATGCTAGCTGTGAAACAAAAAGAAGAAGTCAGGAAAGTAGAAGTAGGAAAAACAGCACTAAACCTCAGAGTATAATTATGAAGACAGGTAAAGACATTGAAACATATGAATACAACGCTATGTTATTTGCACTCAAGATACATAGGTAAACAAGTTGAAAAACAGCACCTAAGTCTTAAAGATTAATTATGAATAAGGTCGTCACATACTGTATATTCAGAGGTGGAAGAAGTACTCAGATCATATACTTAGTTTACGGTTAAGAAAAGTAGTCGTGTAGTCAAAAGTTATTATCAATATATACTTAAAGCAAAAGTACTCATTATGCAGAATGGCCGATTTCAAAATAATATACATTATATTAATAGAAAAGTGGGGCTAATTCAAACTCACTTATATACACCTACTGCTGGGTAGCTTAATCAATAATAATACAAAATCATTTTTTGGTTATATTTTGTATTCATAATCCAAACATGCAAAGTAACAAGTATGTTTTTAATAAATGTAATGGAGTAAAAAATACTTCAAAATTGTACTTGGTTACTTTCCACCACAATATTTGTATCAGTTTACTTAACAGACAGACAGACAGACAGATAGATAGATAGATAGATAGATAGATAGATAGATAGATAGATAGATACTATGTTAATTTCAGGACACAATACAAACACCAGTGTCTCTGCTCGTCCTGGGTGTGGTCGACTAAGGGTTTAATTGACAATGTACGATAAACAAATCCTACCTTTTATCAGCAGTCATACCATGGTTGTTGATCTATGAGCGATAACCTGGTCCGTTGCAGGTAAATGCAGCTTTCTTCCGATATTGATAACCGAACTGTTACAAAAGCACACCGGATGTTACATATAGGGGATAATAACGGGAGGCGGGACTTAAAGCTCCCATCAGCATTCTGATTGGCTGAGCTGTTGCACAATAAAGCACATTGTTAGCGCAGAGACGACATGGGACGTATCCATAGAAAGGAGGATTGAGGTTAGTCAAACTGTGCAGAATCATCCTGTAGTGATCGGCTCACAATGCATGCTGGTCAGAGAGGCCAGACTAATTAATTGGAATTCATTAATTAAAAGTGTATTAACTGACTTAATTATTGTCTAGGAAGCGCAAATAATTGAGTCACTTTATCAGTAGCTTTCCTGGAATATAGTAAAGAGTGTGCTTAAAAGAAAGCATTAAACCTGAATCCCCTGCAGCTATTGGTTACTTTCCATGCAAAATACATTGAGCTTTATTTTGAAACGGTCCAAATAGGATTTTTCCAAAACTACTTTTTATGTACAAGAAAGCAGCCTGTGGATGTACTGTCCATGCTCGAGACTTAAGTGAACACAAATCAGGTTGTCCCATGTAATAATTTAATGTCAGGCATTCTATTGCAATTTACAGAGCTACCTTTATCCTTTCCGATCCTAACAACCAACATTATGATCAAGTGTTTATGTAATCCAACATGTAGTTATTATTTGGAACTGAAGCAGGGGGAAACCTACCCGGAATAAACATAGCGCAAATCTTTTCACAATAAGAGTACAGCAGTTTCTCACATAGTTGCATTTGTATATTCAATATATACACATAGATTTCATTTAACTTAAAACATTTTCACACAGCAAGACAAGCACAACTTCACACAGAAACCAGACAAATCTCATTCTTTCATAACATTACAATAGTTTTTTTTACAATAAAAAATACAATTGCAATCACCGGGGGAAACAAATGAAACATAGTTAGTGAGGAGTTAAAGTAATAAGGAATGATGTGAGATTGAAGGGAGGAAGTCTGAATTTGTTCAGCGTATACACCAGTGGAAGATGATATTAAACCGCTTCATGAAGGCAAATTCAAACACCACTACTGTAATGCTTTTTTTTTGTCTGTTATCATGCCAGTGTTGTAAACAAAGAGGGGATTCAGTATTACGGCCTTCCTCCCATCAAGCAGTCACAGTTTTATTTCACTAAACAAGACCTCACACAAAACACAAACATTCACTAGAGGGATCTACGAGGACAGCTGGAGTGCTGATGGCCAGGACTTAGTCCATCCTGATCTTCTGATTGGTCATCCTGTAGATGATGCTGTCATATCCTGGGTCCATGTTCCACAGGTTGTAAGATACGGCGATGACAGCAAGGGCAAGAGCGATCATCAGCCACAGAACAATGTTGAAGACCACAGCGTAGTGGAAGTTGTACTTGTAGGCCAGGTTGTAAGGGCTGCCAGGGTTACTCTGCAAAAGAAACATTTAAATCCAGAAAGGTAGATGCATTAGTTAAAAAATGCCTGCCATCAGAAAACACTTAAAATCAGTTTTAGTCATAAAACTGCAGTAGCCATTTATAAAGGGTGTAGTGCAGGCCTGCTCATTATATTTAAAAAAAAAAAAAAAAAAACTATTCTTGGTCACGTTACCTGTTGTAAAGAAAACTTTACTTTAGGGATGCACAATAATGACTGGCTAATAATCGTAAATCTATATTATTATAAATTATCAGGATAATTAATAATAATTTATTTGGAATTCTTTTGCAAAATGCTTGTTAGACCTTATGTTTCATGAAAGTCAAAGGATGTTTGTGTTGTTTTATAATCAGCTTTACCAGAAAAGAGAAATTTGTTGTGTTTACAATAGTAATCATTCATCTTTGCTTACTGCATCTTAGCCTTTCTTACCCTGAGGTGTATAAAACCTACAGATTACGATCTTCTTTTTAAAGCAGGGTTATTGTATTGGCTACAGAAATATCCATACCGTGCATCCCTACCTTATTTTACAGGTCCGTATTTTCTCCAGTAGACCTTTGTAATATGGTAAAGTTCTGAGACAGCCGTTTGAGTTTAATTAGTTTTTTCCTTTATAATATGAACATAGGCTACATTGAGACTGAAAAAAATAATAAATAAATAAAAGTATGAAGCTGTTCGCATCATGTGGAAACAGTGCTTTGTGTAGATATGTATAAGTAAGAGAAAGAAAAAATAAAATAAGAAAAACAAGGAGAATATATAAAAAGGGATTTAAAAATGTATACAATGGAAGAAATAGGTTTTCAAATACAATCTGGAGAGTCAATCTAGTGCAGGCCTGCTCTGCCGTGCTCCCAATGCCAGACCTTTTCAGCTCTAGCACTGTGCATGCATCGAGTACCAAACAGGATGTGTCATAGGAGGAAAACATCTGATAAGACGCATTAACAAGAACTCTCTCTCTCTCTCTCTCTCTCTCTCTCTCTCTCTCTCTCTCTCTCTCTCCCCCCCTCCCTCCCTCCATTTTCATTACAAGTGGATGATCAAAGCATTCTTTGGCTCCAGACCCAAGTCATAAAAACCAAAGAAGCATGGACTGGAACTGGGTTTATGCTTCACACAAGGGGTTACTGTATATACGGCGTAGGTTTGGATTTTAAGTTCAGCATCAGATTTCACCTATGCACAGCACCACCACAACACTGCACACATGTATTGTACATGATCAGGCCATGTTGTACTTTCTTTACATTCCCCACAGTAATTGTGTGACACAGAGTGCACATATTATACAGCTAGAGTCACATCCAGGTAACTTCTATTTCGCCATGTCTCATTATTGAGTAGGAAATTACTGCTGTGCAATAGACCTTTTTCACAGCAGACTTTATTTTTGTCATAGCAGGAAAAGCACAAGTGAAACTAATTTAGTTAACAATACCTCTGTTCCATTAAGTGTCTCAGTAAGCCATAAGAGCGCGCCAGCATGAACAATACCAGGACCCAGAAAGTAGCTCACATAAATGTTATGTAGCAGTTTTAATGTTAGCATTTACACCTGTGCTTTTCCTGCAACGACATTGCAAAATGCCTGCTGTGAAAAAGTTGTAGTCTTTTTTATACTCTCTCTGTAGAGTGAGATAGAGAGCAGCAATTAGGTGGGCAGAACGTTTGCCTTTCCTAGGTGTGTGTTACTGAAAAGGAGATTACTAAGGCTTTCTTAACTTGCTTAATGTTTTCGAGAACAATGTCCATCGGAATGGAAACTTGCAGAACGCAGGCCAAGAACAGTTCCTCCTGTCACTATGTGGTATCTCAGTAGCCCCGACACGTAGTTACATTTTTGAGGCACACGTTGGTCAAGGTGTAGCTACGACAGCTACATGCATCTGAGTTTCTTTCCTCTCCTGTTTACACAGTGAGCCTAAGCCGCCTTCAGCTCACACCTTCACATACTGCTATTATTCTGTAACTGAACTAAACGATTTCCGCCGTTACACGCAAGTGGAACCAAAGTTATGCCCCGCTAACTTTAGGCCGTACACCATTAGTAGCATGTGCTAAGGTTAGCACAACAAGCTGCTTGGCTTGTGAGTCAGTAACACTACAGGGAACACAAATGAACATGAGCATCACCCAGATGAACGCATCATTATGAATTTTAGGGTTTTTTCTACTGTACCAAACTCGAACCTAACTGGGGTATGAAGGGAACCGTGATTTCTGGGTACAGTTAACACCCCTCGCTTCTAATATTTAGCTAACTCACTTATAATGCATTGCAAACACCGGATAGGTGTATCATTTTCCTGTTGGCATACTATTCAACTCAAGTTTGCTCCGACTTACAATCTGTTTGGATTCCAGGATCGAACGGGACTTCCTGGTCAAAGGAACCTCAAAGGTCTTAACTGTAACAACCTCCACCACAGCACTGTTGCCATAGAGAGCATACACATCCTCTCCAAACTGCAATTAAAAAGACACAAGTGTTATTATATACAGAGGTTGACTTAAAAACTGAGGAGATTCTGTTAATTGTGCCTATTAAGACCATTTCCTTACTTTCTGCAGGACTGAGGCCAGGATAGCAGTGGCATCGCGGTACTGGGGAGAGTCTTGGCCATAGAGCCTGCTGAGCTCCTCCAGGCCAGACAGCTCCAAAGAGTACAGATCAGGAGAGTGGTCCTTCGCCAAATGTCTGTGTCTCTGCAGCTACAAGAACAGCACAAGACAAAGACATCTGAGTCACAATGAACTATCCTCATTTTCAGGAGCGAGTCTGAGTGAACCCGGATTACTTACCAGAGCTGTGATATCATGCAGTACTTGGACCTCAGACAGGAAGAGCAAATCAGCCTAGAAAGCAAAAACCGTAACAAGGTAAGAAAGAGAAATGGGCCACTTGATACGTTTCATGGATTCAAATTGACAAAAACAATATCAAGTAAATACCACGATTCTCCTCCATAAACATGAGACATAAAGAGCCAGCGTTGTGTAGGTACGATGTTACGGTGTGAAACTGACCTCTGCATTTCTGCTGAGGGAGTTGAGCGGCAGGGAAGCCAGCACAGAGCCATCCTGGGACAGCCTGGCACGGATCTGCTGCAAGGTGACTGGGAGGTCCTCAAACACAGCGTTGGCCTTGCCCAGCATATACAACCTCTGAAAGAGATAACACACAGATAAAATAATAACAGATAAGCCTGTGAAGAGTGATGTTACAGATGGTACGTATGGCCTGTCCAGTCGCAATATATTTTCATTACCTCCTCACTGGGGGCCAGCTGCAGCACTACAGGGGTGTCCTCAGCAAACAGAGAGTGTACCGTCTCTGCAACACTATCCAAGGTGAAGGGTACCGGCTGCAAGGAAGACGAGGACACACTGATTAACTAAGCTAAATAACATCGCAGACTTCATTAATGTTCATCATATTTGCATCATCGTAATGCCACAGTCCAGCCTGACTCACGTTCTCCAAGGGGTAGGAGGCCACACTCTGAGGCAGGGCGAGGCTATCGACTCCTCTTACCACCACCAGTACGTTAGCCCGGGGACGCTGGAACAATGGACCAGCCTGAAGGCCTGGCCAGGACAAATCCTGTACAAATGAACACACATTGTAAATGCTAGGCTAGTATAATCATAAGTTTAACATGCAATAACAAATGTTTTTGAACATAACATTGACCTATCATCACCTCTTAAGTTGATATAGCAAACCTGTTAGAAAACGTATTTACATTAAGCAGTTACGGAAGAACTGTAACTAACCTACGGAAATATCTGGCCCTTTAGCTGTTTAATGCTCTACTATGTTCAGCTAGGTGCAACTGTGTGTATCTGCCATGGTACTAAGCTAAGGTAGTGTACAGTGGGTTTTTAGAGGTTTTTCAGCTTAAAAAAAATAATCTACCTGCTGCAGCTAAGAAACAACACAATGACAGCAATGAGAGTGAATAATAGTCTGTAGGTTCAACACTACAAGTGACCCTTTTCACATACTTTGTTATTATACGAATATTAAAGTCACTTGAGGCTACTTTTTGCACCTACCTCTTGAATAGAGAAGCCCATGGTTAAGGCCACCAGGTCAGGAATCTTCTCCCCAGAAACAGGCCAGTCTCCTTTCTGGAAGGACACAAACTCAGGAGCCTGCAGCACCGTTAAGCTGTCTCCTTGTACACCTACGAGATAAATGAAAGGACTTCCAATCTAAGTAAACATGTGGAACTGAATAAATTCACAGTAAAAACATTTTCTCAACCTAACAGACCTAAAGTTCATGAGACTTTAACTGGCAATATTCTTGGCATCACAAAATGTGTATGAAGTTCAAACAATGTTATCTTTTTCTTTTTTAGCTCTAGCTTTTTTCTCTGTATGCTGTGTTTTAAATTAATAAATTATGCACTATATAGTGCCCTAAACAAATCTCACATAAAATGAAACAGTAGTGCCCATGGCTGTGCAATACTCGTTACTAACAATGCTTTGCCACTGATAGATGAGAATATTACAGTTTCACAGCACTTCATCTGTCAGTGATAAACAATATGACCCACAAATGTACGAAATGTCCTTCTACTGTGCACTATAGGGTGAACTATTGATTGTTTATTGTGTGGGGGATACTGAATGAGTCACAGAAAAGACGGACATTTTCCATAACTATTGACATGGTATTATTACTACACACAGAAGTGACTGTAAACAGCAGTAACTGGCTTTACATACCCATATAATAATAATACAACAGATCATTAAATTAAAAGGCAATTCAGATTCATCAGTAACACTGCGACTTCACGATCATCCACTGAGAGCTACCCTTTAATAATAATGCGCTTAGCTTCTTCAGCCGCTGTTTTGCAATAATGGAAAGTAAGACCTCGGAAATGAGAAGCCATGTCACTTCTGTGAGCGCAGTTATAATTAATTCTCAACTATATGTTAATTGCTCGTTATACACCAGCACCAGCAGTCTCAACAGCCTGACTGGACTTCACACGGTAAAGATAACCCGTGAATATTACAGCGCCGTGGACGGATGGAGGCATGAACTCGTGACAGAGAGCTGGTGGTGACTGTTCAAGAGGAACTAGTTTACAGTCGGTCACATGACAGGACAGCCTTGTGTGAATTAGTAACCAGCTACAAGGAGGCATATAAATGTACGTTTTCCTTCAATATGATATGACCACGAACAACTTGTGAACCTTACCGACAAGAAAACACACATGACTTTCTCACTGTTAGCGTTTACAGCTTGCTAATGCGTTATCTTCAGTTTTTAACCCGCTTGTTGGCAGCACAAGCCAATCCGGGGATACAATACTACAATAATAACAACATTATTTCACACATTCACATTTACATTCACGTAAAACGGCATTATACCAAGCATAAGGTGCTATCTGCAAGCTAAACGGCGATGCTAACGCTGTCCCGAGCTAGGTTAGCGAGCTGTCATTTGCACATAATGGTGGATAGATGACGCTAACATGTTACTATTTATGTTGTGTAAAAAAACAAAACACACATCCCACAACGCTAACCATTACTTTCCACCGATGCATGTATCTCACCGGTTGTGAGAAGACAGCAGAGGAGAAACGCCGCGGAGAAAACAGCCTCCATCCTTCGACAGCTCGTCAGCGACATCTTTCTCCTCGGTGAAGCAGAGATCAGCTGACCTGACGTCACCATACCGCAAAGAACCATGGGACTATATCCGACACAACCCCACAGGTACATTGTACTGACAGCTACCATGAATAATACATAATACTAACCCTTTTTTATTTCTCTCTTTAACTTAGTATGAAGCCAGTAATATTTATTGTGCCATAAAAAAAACAATACAAACCCAAACATACATTTGTAGACTATATAACGAATAAATAGATATTTAACAGATGGTCTAATTTCATTTTATTGTAATGTGTCGCTATTGGCATATAATTGGAGGGGACATCAATCAAGTTTATATAATTAAACACAGAAAACTACCGAAAATGAATCAATAATTGTCATCATCAATTATTGATTGTGTTATTTATTAAGCAAAAAGGAAACAGCCGTAGTCCCATCTGTGTTTCATGTCATAGTGATTAAGCTAAATATATTTGGGCTTTGGACTGTTCAATTAAAGAAAAAGTAATCTGAAGACGTCACTTTGGGAAATGTGTGCATTTAAAATCCGATATTTAATGGACTAATAAACAATGAACTGAAATAATAATTAATCAACAATGAAAATAAACATTAGTTGCAGCTCTAAATGAGACTTAAGGTTTCCGATTTATAAAGTGGTTTAACAAGCTCTACCTCTTTATGTATTTCCTATCTTCTGAGTGTGGTATATTGTTTTTTTTTTTGTTTAGAAATTGGCATGATGTAGTAAGTAGTAATTTCCATAGCTAACAGTTGTTGTTGTTTTTTACCACACATAAACATCTGACTTGATGTAATGCCCTTTGGTAAAATTTCACTTAATGTCACTCTTTAGAAATATTTAAATGCATACACCAAACTGCTTTCTGGTGCACAATAATGCAGAAATTCTTCATGAACTGCACACTAACAATCAAGTGGAGCACACAAACAGCATTTTCTAGGTCTACTTCCTGCCATTCTGATGCATTTTACTGACAATTAGGAGAAAAAACCTTTCACCGTGCACCTCAATGCAGTGTATGAAGACTGTGCAGTGTAATCCTGTGTAATATGTACAACTCAGAGACTTAAAGCCAAGATGATGGCCATTTATAAACAATAATAGTATGTTATTAAAGGCTTATGTTCATTACATGTCTTTATCTCAAAAATTACATCCTGCAGAAGGTGAATGTGGCCATCCTGCACCTTCTCGCCTCAGGATATGACTCTGGCTTGAGTGTTTGGGCTGAGAAACAAAGGTCTGCGAGGCTGAACTCTTTTTTTTTTCAGCATCTCAATTAGCTGTCTGACAGCCTCTTGTCACTCCATGACCTTTACCTGGATATGTGGAATGGGGCCAATTCATGTCTGCCTGGAGACAGCAGCTAAATCTCCGACCTCACTCCATAAAGCTATCTGAACCTTGCTACTTAATAAAACAAGCATTCACGTTGCACATTCTCAGTAATCTGTTCAGCATAAAAGAGAGTTTTAAGATCATCCTGGAGCCTGATGATGATTTTAGTCTGCTTTCTCTCTTTCTTCAGAGGATTTCTCCAGGGGTTTATTTATGGCCTCGAGGGCTGGATTGGCCATGTCCCTCTAAAGCTCCATTGTCAGCTTGTGGATCAACTAAACCCCCCCTCCTAATTTTGCCCTGGTTCTTGGCAGCCTGCCAGGGATCTCTTTGCACCTACTCTGCAGAGATAGGGCAGTTGGGAATTTAGCTTTGAGTCTATCTGCCTGTTGTGGCTCCCCTTTACTTCAGTCATCATTTTTGTTGAAGCTCAGCCAGATCATCATGCTGACACAGGGCTGCTCATTTTGTGTATTCTCCAGAGTCTTTTCCTCCAGCAGTCCTTTACAGCCACTGAAGTCTAGATCTAGACCACTCAAAGGATATTCAGGATGTGGTGCAGACCATCGCTGGATTAACTTGCTGGGGGGCCACAGGCCAGTGTTGTGGACCCCCCTAACGTCCCATTCCTCCCCGTCTCTGTGCACCATGAATGCACCCAGTAACCCTCTATCTGGGGCCTACAGCCCCCAAATATCAACGACACCTCTAACTGGAATTCTACCTGGCCCCAAATTGTTCTGAACTCAAATCAGGTTGTGGTTATTGTCTTAAATAATGAAAGAACAAAACTAATTTCCCAATTCCCATCAGGGGTGTTTCCACACTTTTTTGACTGGAGTGGCACAGGTGGGGCACAGAATATATTCAAACAGGGGAAAATAACACATTTATACCATAAGCAGAAAAGGGCATGGCGATCGCCCAAAAACTGCATGGGATTAGCGTAAAGTGGGCATGTCTGCAAAGGGGAGAACCTGTTTTTATTCGGATGTCTTGAGGTCAGAGGTCAAGGGATCCTTTTGAGAATGGCAGTGGCAGAGATAAGGATAATGGGGTGGCCAATCAGATTTCAGCCACGCTCCTGTGGCTCTCAGGCTCAAATCTACTTGTTCCTAATAAGACAAACTTTTTTTTTTTTAAAGGCCAAGAGCTAGGAACTGTAGTTTTTTAGAAACATTACTCAAGCAGGACTAAATAGTAAAGTTGTTGGGGACTATTTAAGGATTTTGTGCCTTAGTGAGTACTTCTGGCTGCAGGACGGTGCAACTCAAAACAAACTACAGTGCCCATGGTCATCGTCACAATGAGGAAACGCGCTACTCGGTGCCGTAATCCGGATCTTGGACAACCCCAAAGTTCAATGGAAAAAGGTAAATAAATATATAGGACTTTGGTTACACAGTACTTGTTAGTTAGCTGAGTCCATTTGTTCAGGGTTTTGGACATTTGGTGGCACTTACTAAAGCTCACAGCCAAAAGACCCGGTAATAGTAATTACCTTTACAGGGGTTTAACTTCAGTTGATATTGTGATGAAGAGAAGAATTTTTCCAAACCAATATGTCTAATCTAATAACAGTTTTTGCACACTGGAGGGCGCTGCAAGCCACAAGCTTTTCAGCATAGAGAGGCAGCAAATGGGAGTTGGCCAACTGCTCAGTCAAGGCTGCAGCAATAAATATCTTGACACTTACAATACAAAAATATTCCAAGAGATGGCAATGTAGGATTGAGCTGTTCACACCTGGGTGACATACAGGAGGAGCATACAATAATTAGGCAAGATTCAATATGACAGGGCAGCCAAAACTTCTCACATCCCAATTTAATTCAACACCAACAAAAAAGGCGCAGAACACATTTCCTCTTGCAGTTTGTATATTTATTTTAAAGCAACTTCTTTTGTAAAATATAAATACAAATTATGAGATATTTTAATTACAAAGTTAAAACAAAAATGAACACACCAAAACTTACTTTACTGCAGTAGCCTCCCTGTTATATACACAAGCTCTGTGCCGAAGGGTGAATATCAACATTATCTTAAAACTTTATTATACAAACAATTTTGTAGTTTTGCATGTTAAATTACAGACTAAACAGGAAGCAAAATTTGAACAATAAAAAAAAAAAAAAAAAAAAAAAAAAATAAAAAGGTACAATAGAATAGCCCCTGAGGCTCAAGCCTGCGCTAAAGTCTGAGGAGAAAAAAAAAAAAAAAAAAAAGCACAAAAAAGACATCATGTGCTTCCTATAAACACAAATACCACATTCAATAGCACAGTCTCAGTACTATCCTGTACAACTACACACGGGCACGACGTGCTGCGTGCTCACACACTCCCTCCAATCGCTGACAACACGACTACGCTCTGTTGCCATATAAAATCTTTAAGAGGAGTCATGAGCAACATCCGAAATGAACAAAAATCTCTTGATATTTTATATTCATATATATATTTATATATATATATATATATATATATTTTTTTTTATTATTTATTTATCTATACATATATTAATTTATAAAAATAAGACCATTATTAAGTCTATTGAGTCACAAATGCATTGCTCCTCAGTTAACGGAGGGAGCAGCCAAGTCAGCCAGCAGGTCAGTTCATCTGTACAGTGCACCAGTGCTGGTCCAGAGCAGGGCCGGAGCATGGGAACTAAGGGTCAGGCTAAGGCATATCATCATAACCTCTGGTTGGTTCTAAAGCAAACTGCAGTCGGTATGGATCAAGGTCCGGGTCCAGTGGCGTCAGGGGTCAGGATGAGCCCAACTTGCCAACAGCCTTGATTTTGTCCTTCAGTTTGTCCCCCGGGTGGTCCCAGTGGTCGTCCAGGCACTCCAGTGTGGACCCCAGAAGAGCGGCCAGCTCAGCGCTGTCTTCCACCAGGTCCAACAGGTCCTTGCTGTCTGGATGGAAGCCATCCAGTTCCTCTGGGCAGGAGAAGAGCTGCGACAGAGAGGCCTGTCGGTAAAACTCCGCCTCTGCCACCGTCACCACCTCCATGTGGGGGAAGGCCTGTCGGAAACCGCGAGCAGACATTCGCAGCCGACGAAGCACATCGGACAGCAGCAGCCAGTTTCTTGGCCTGAAAAAGAAAATGAACCAATGTTTAGGAACGAGGGCCAACAGAGAGGGAAAAAATTGGAAAAAGGTGCGTCTGCACTTGAGATCAAAGCTCACCCTTGGGAGAGGGACACCTGGATGTTGTAGCAAGGCAGCAGAGGTCGGTCAGAGAACTCAAACTCAAACACCTCCTTTTTATCCTCCTCATCCTCATCCTCTGGGCCTGGAGGGTCAGCCAGGATGTCATACACACCGCCCTCTTCGCTGGACTCTGACATACAAAATACACAGGAATACATTTTCGTAAGCGCCCACATTATCATGAACGATGCAGGGAGATACAGACATGAATCACTCAAAAGGTAGATGGTACTAAAGATGTTTAAAAAAAACCAAAAGACTCTGTAAGCACAAAAAACAGACACACACACACGGTGCTGATCAGTACTCACCACACACAGCGCTGCCATAGAATTCCCAATAAAGCCCTGGGTCGTCATCTGAGCGGCCCTGAAGGTCAGCAAAATAATCTATGGAGAGAGGAGAGGAGCGAAGCCTGTTATTCAAGAGACGGAGCCCTGGGGACAGGCAACGAGGCAAATACAATTGCCCTTT